TTACCCCAGTTAGTTTAGTTTTTTCTGCATATTATACAGGCAGCTGACTAGATCACCTCTGTCACAAGAGAAAATGAACACCTGTAACTCAAATGTTTCAATGTAAGCTGCAGCATATTAGCCCAAACCATCAACAAAAGTCAGCCTATGCTGAGATAGACCTAACAGCGGAGTGCAGACCACATGCTCCCATCTGCCAGCTCTGACGCACAGGGGAGGGACCTACAGCAGTAACACCTACAGCAGGACGGACAGTTAAAGCAGCGAAACCTTAATATCTGCAACAGAAAGATTTACCCGAGATGGCGCATCAAGACCCTAATCTGAACTGCACACAGGCTCTGCCCCTTTTCACTCCCCTTCAGCAGCTGTCACCATGGCTCCGCAGGGCGTAGAACCTCTGTCCCCTCCTTTCCTCCTCAGCTCAGCGTAGCCCAGCCGGCACAGGGGCTGCTGCCAAGCTGCTGAGATGCTCAGGGTGGGGGGGGCACAGAGATGCCTTGGCCAGGAGGCAATTCACTGCTGCACTTTCTGCAGCTGCTCGTACAGCTGTTTGCAGCCTTCCCCCGCCTTGGTTACCCATTTTCTTAAGTGCAAAGAAGGGCATTGCTGCTATGGCTCTGCTTACTGACTGCAGGCAGCTGAAGGCAGCTCATTTCACAAAATTCTACAGCAGCTCTCATGCAGAAGAGATTCACGTAGGGAATAATATCAAAAGCACTGGCTTGCTTTCAAAAAACAAATCTTTAAAAGCTGGAATGATCGTAAAGAAAATGCTGGCCATACAACCTTTTACCCAGTGCATTATCCCACCCAAATCCTTCAGCACAGCACAGTCTGCTTGTAAGGTATGCAAGTATCTATCTAATGGCATATTGATCTCTGAAGTTCTGTAAATTACATAAGTGAGATTACAGCCCCTTCCTCCGCCCATCCCAAAGCACACATTTAAAGATCTGTGCCGACTGGGAACCCACTTCACAAGCACAGTGCCCAGTTAATGGGAAGAAATCTTTACATTCCTGCAGCTTAAACATCCTAGCTAAGGAATCTTTAATTTTCCACTGTCATCAAGCATGACAGGTTCTAAAGTAGGACCTTCACAGTGAGCACTAGACTTGAACACGGGTAGCAAATCTACCAACTTCAGAAGTATTACTTACATTTTAATAATATTCGTTTTGCAGTACAAATGTAATTTCTGACTATCTAATCCTAAGCAGAATTTAACTGATGACAGCTTTCAGCTGACACTAAATAATTTTATTCTAGTTTAAAACAAACAAGCGAACAAAAAGGCAAAGTAGTTCCACACTAGTTCTACCCCAACAATACACAGTAAACCTCGTGATTTGAAAACCCCAATCCAAGATGACCTTTCTAACCACAAAGTGGTGAAGCCACATGGTGTTATCTACTTGGGACAGAACTTGGCCTATCCAGGCATATTCAAAACAGTTACAGTGAGTGAAATAAGTATCAAAACACAGTGCAACACATTCAGTGCATTCACAAAGGTTAAAGCATTTAACTGATCTTTCACCAAGTGTGCTTCATTAGCTAGCTAACCTTACATTTCTGTGCTCCAACCATATAAATCCAGACTTATTTCTAGACATTAATTCAAAGCATAAGAAATTTAATAACTTCAAGTTATTAAATAATGTTGAACGAGCCCAGCAAACTAAGTCTGAAACCACCTCCCAAAATAAAGTAAAGCAGCTTTTATTTAGAGATGGAAACCTCATTCCCAGGAGCTAGCTTTTCTAGTTAAGCTCTTACATTTTTGTCCCAAGTTAAAAACAAAGGTGGTTACAAAGAAACACACTAAGTAGGTTTTACAACCTTTTACCTGGATCACCTATACAAAAGCTACACCTTTGGTAAAACTGACGCAGATTTGTCATGCTACCTTCATCCCTGCACAATGCATTCCATCTCTTAAAAAATATTACTGGCTCCAGGGTTAGCAGCATCTCTTACTCCAAGCATTTGGAGGGTTACTCCAAGGGAGGAGGGTGGGGGGGAGAATAAAGCTGCAATTAAACACACGTCTAGAAACAGTGCTGGAGGCTGTAACCTTGAGGAAAATCGTTTTTCAGCCTCCAGTCTGCCACTGCCAGTGGAAGCTCTGCATCTGTACTTAAGCACAGATAAACAGTTTTGCCACCTTCAGCCTTTAGCTTCCAGGATGCCAACTCCTCTGAAGTTTTTCCAATAGATTACCCCCAACACAAAGATGATGGCTTGTACTGTGTTTAACCAAATGGACAGAAAACACAGCTGGCACAAGCTTTGTCAAGGATTTAACAGAAAAAGCATTTCATATATACACACTTCCACCTCCTGCATTTGCTCTACATTTAAGTCTTCTATACCACTTCACTGCAATGCACATCTATAGCGCTGAAAGAATGGCTGCATATCAATGACATCAGCTCCACAGATTTTACCTGTTTTATATATTCTCAACTTCACACTCCAGCATAATAAAAGTTTCCCTGCTCTGGAGATGTAACACATCAGAGCCGGAAGTTGTCAGTGCTGCAGCAATCATGGGATGCATGCTTAGCAGTCACCACTCAAGGCTTCCAAGAGCGTGCAGCACACACGTAGCAGGCATTTACATACAAGCTCCATTTGTTCCACTGCCATTACACTTATTTAGGGGAAAAAAAATGTCATTCTTGCAAAAGGAAGCCATTAAAATTAAGATACTGTTTCCCATTATTCCATAGCAAAAGTACTTCAATGGTATAATAAAACAGCTGCCATTCTTCTGTAAAGCACACCATGTCAATAAAACAGAGTTCTGCCAGTTGAATGCAGGCCACTCTCAGGGCAGATGGCAAAGACTTGAGGATGAGATCCAGCATAACATCATCTTCCTGAGACCGGCTGTGTACCTGACAATTCCTTCTGCTGGGAGAGCTCCAAAAGCACGTTCCAAAAGCAGGGACCCAACATAGCAATTCTTGGGTGCTTCCATGTCTGAGCCAAAAAGCAGTCTGTGAGTTATATGAGAAGGAGGGGGTGGTTATATGGTGAATGCGTAGCATGCTTCAGGTTGCATTCACATGCTGCAACACAACCTGAGAGTCTGATTTATGAAGTGTAATAAAGGATTTTATCTAAGTCTATAAAGATGGAATCAAAGAGCCTAAAAGTACCTTCCCCAGTGTGTCTGGGACGTCATCAGCTGTAGATGACGAGTTCTCACCCTGACAGGCAATGCCACGAGTCAGACTCAATCAGCCATGTGTGATTACAATGCTCTGAGGTCCTGGTCTCTCTTTAGCCTGCTCTGACCTGGTGCCAACTGCCTACTACAAAGAAGCAGAGTTTCAAGGTCTGATCTGTGACCTTACAGGAGATCCCAGATCACCAGCAACAGAGTGCCATTCCCTGGCTTAACAAAGTAGTAATATTAAAATCTGAATTCAAAACAGCTCCACTACAAAATTATTTCTCCTATTTTTTGGATCCCAGCCTCAATCCCAGTAAATATTTTTATCAGAAACCATGCTTCGAAAGAAAGCAGCTTGCAAGCAATGCTTCCAGTCTGCTACACATCACCATTTTGACGTTCCAGGTGGGGAAAAACAAAATTGAAACTGTAAACCCCACGTGAGTTTGGAAGCCTATCCTCTAGCACCCTGTGATGAAATGGACTAAAAATAACACCTTCAAAACAAACACCAAGCCCACACCAAAAACCTTGCACCAACCCTCTGACCCTACACCCCAGCACTGGGGGAAGCACGACCAATAAGGGCCTGAGAACCACAGGCAGCAGGCCCAGAGCACACAGCCGGAAAGGACTTTCTCATCCACAAGTTACACTGAAGTGTTTTAAGGTTTCCACCACCACGTTACGATGCTCAGAAAGGCAAACGGCCCCTCTATGTAACCATCATCACTTCGCTTTAACAGGAAACTCTTACCTGCAGCGCCCGAGAGCGTTTCATAAGCACGAGCTGATGACAAAGCACCCAGGGAGGGTCCTGGCTGTGCACAACTCGAGCGATATCACTGCCAATACGGGGAACAACTTCAGACAGCAGATTCTAAAGAAACTGTTTTGAAATCCTCGGGAGAGTGCGGCGACTTGAAGACACCCGTGAAAGTAAAACTAATCAGAAGCCAACTTACAGTGCTCGGGGGCCGTCCTCCCACCACCGAACCATACCCGAGAGCCCGCTGCGACGGGGCAGCACCCCGACCCCGCTCACGGCCGCGGGCGCAGCCCGGCTCAGAGGCGGCACACCCCGCGGCCCCGGGCCGGGCACAGCCGCTCTGCCATCTTGGCGACGACGACCGAGCCGGCGCTCCCCGCTCCGGTGAGGCGACCCGGGCGGCGGCCACTGGACAGAGCCGTCCCACCAGCCAGCCCCGAGCCGGCGGCCTCCTTCCTTCGCCGGGAACGATTTATGTTATCATCACCGCGGCATTTTTTCCGACTTAGCTGTGAAGTCGCTCCGCCCGGCCCCGATTGTGCAACGGCGGGGCCTCGGCGCGGCGCTTCCGCTGCCGGTGGGGCCGTGCGGGGCGGCGGGGCCGAGCCCGGCTCCGCGGAGCGCGGAGTGTGCGCGCCGCGGGATCCCGGAAAGGGCCCGGAGCCGCCGAGCCGCCGCCATCTTACAATGCGGGAAAGGCGCCGCACGCCGCGGGGAGGCCGGGAGGACCGCTCCGCGCCGCGGGAGAGCTCAGAGCGCCCGGGGAGCCCCATCCGCCGCGGCCGAGGCGGGCGGGAGCTCGGCGAGGTCGAACGCGAGCGGCGGGGCCGTCCGCAGGGCGGCCTCCGGCCGGCGGGGTGCGGCGGCGCCGGCCCGGGCCCGGCGGGGCGAAGGGAGAGCGGCCGGGCCGCTGTCGGCGGGCGGTGTGGCGCAGCGCCTCCATGATGAAACGACAGAAAAAAAAAAAACAAAAAAAAAAAACAAAAACAAAAAACCAAAGCAAAAAGAACGGCGAGAAGCGAGGGCGGGGCGCGGGCCGCTCACCTTGTTGATGCGTTTCAGCGCCATTGTGTGCGAATGCCGCCGCCGCCGGGGCCGTCTGTGCGCCGCGGTGACTCCGCGCTCCGCTCGCGCTGCGGGGGGGCCGGGAGGAGGGCGCGAGGAGGAGGAGGAGGAGGAGGAGAAGGAAGGCGGGGAGGGGGAGGGGGCAGCCGCGCCGCTCCTTCCTGCGGAAGCTACCGGGGGGGGCGCCCGAGCGGAGAGTGGCGGCCAGCGGAGACCTCCGGCCGGCGGACCGTGCGCCTGGGGGAGCGCTGCGTCCGCCGCTTCCCGTCACCAACGGGAAGAGCAGCAGAAGGAAGAGGACAGCCGCGGGGCGTCACCCGACAAAGAGGAGCAGATAGGAGTCCAAAGACAGCAGCAACGGCTCCGCCGTTGGCAGCCGGGCCTGAACCCGGGGGGAGGAGGGGATGGAGCGCGCCTGACTCCAGCCACACCCCAGGGCCGCACACGGGAGGGGCGGGAAAGCGGCGTCTGGGGGCGTCGTGGCTCCGCCCCCACAGCGGGGAGGGGGAGTGTCTCGCGAGAGGTGGGCGCGAGTCGCGCCGACGTAGAGGAAGGGAGGGGTGGTTTGGGCCCTGCCTGCTTGCCGGGCGGCGTTTCTGCGGCGCTGCTGTTCCTCCTCCCCCCGGTACTGACGGCGAACCGCCGCCCTGCCCGGCATAGCTCTGCGCGCACAAAATGGCCGCTGTTAGGCTTGCATCGCTGCTATGACGCGGCGGTATCCTTCCGCATGAGTGCACTTCGCACCTCTGCGACCCTGTGTCATTGCGCTGCTGCGGAAATAAGCGAGCCGCGCGTGCTCGCTTCTGCCCTTACAGAAACGTAAATTAAGGCAGCCCCGTCCTGGGCTCACGGTGCTGCTGCCCGCCCGGCCGTGTGCCGCAAAGGGCAACACAGCGCCCGGGAGAGAAAGGAGGGTCCCGTGGAGGAGCGGCGATCCTGGAACAAAGGGCCGGGCTCAGGGACAACGACCCACCAACACGTTCGTTACAATGGGCTGATAGCACTGCTGTCGGTTTTTCGCTACCTTATGTGTTACGACTAGCCCGGAGGAGGCAGTACATTATAAAGTTCCTTCACTTAATGCTCATCTCACGGTACTGTCTGCATACTCAGGAAATGCAGCCCTGCGCTGTTAATGTTCTTATTATCTTAATTAGGAAAAGTGCTGCAAAACAGCTCGCTGTTGCTTGCCCAGTGTGGCTTAGGCAGTGCTGGTCTTCCAAAGCACCAGTACAACTGTATTTCTGTCACAGACATTGTATCTGTCTTTTACATTGCTTACACTGTCCCTTTTTCTTTATTCTTATCTTGGGAGCTTTACAATATTTCAGTTGTATGTTTCTAATATAATAAAGACATTTGGTTTGCCTTTGGCACTTTGCTGTATAAAAAAGAAATAAAGAACTGCACAGACATCCTATTGAAAATGTGTACTTTTTATTTAATACAACGGGTATTGTTAATTTGGTAAATCAAGTTGTATTTGCATGCATTTCAGCAGTTACGTGTTAAAACCATCAGTGTTTTGTATTGTTCTTCTTTACAGCCATTACTGTAAGTGCTCAGAAATTGCATATATTTGCATATTTTGCATATATTGCTTTAGAATAACTCTTTAGAGAAATATTTTATTGTGTTCAGTGTTGTTTATATATATATATATATAAATTTAAATATTTAACTTTAAATACGATTGGGAAAAAAACTAAAAATAATGTTTGTTAAGGTATGAAAACCAGTCCTATGGCCATTTCTGCAAGTCACAGCAGTCGTGTTTGGAGAATGTTGTACTTCTCATCTTCACCTCCTTTTTCTCAAACTCTAAGGTAAAAATTTTGTAGTTTCCTCATAGCTTTGGAAATGAATAAAAAAGTAGAATTTTTACTTAAGTATGAACACTTATGTAAGGCCTTGCAACCTTAACATATTTATGTGTCGTATATTTAACGAGTTTCTCACTTTTACTATATGTAGTAAGTGCACTGTAATGCTACTTGCAGAGATACCTCATATTAGTAATGTAAAATGCAAGAAGCACAGATGATGGATGCTGAATATGAACAGGTGTGGCAACTTAGTGTGGGTCTACCTGGTCTATTTGGGTTTGCTTCATTTTAATTTGATTTTTGAAGCAAATTCTCAGAAGTGGTTGAATAGAATCATTTTTGCCATGTCTAGTTCTTATACACCAGTGAAGCTGAGTTAAATTTTCAGAGGTTTATTATGCAAAAATTGGAAACAAAGGGATATTGGCATGGTAATAAACAGTTCGCAGAAAATACCCTCAACAAGCGAGCTGACTTGAATTTGATTGCTTTTTTAAATATAGCATTGCAGGTTCTTTACAGCCATGTGGTCAGCAACCTCTGAAGGGAGTTTTGCCAGTTTTCTCCAGCTGCTTTGTGATGGCCCAGCAGTGCAAGTGTGAATGGAGACTGCCTTGATATACCACTTCTCTCAGTTTAGAGAGGACTCAAGGGAAAAGCATTCCAGACTTAGTTTATAGCTTAGTGTATCTTGCTTGCACATCAGTGTCAGATTTTTTTACTTTGGCTGTAAAATGACCAGCCAGTTTTACAATTTCAGCATACTTTTCTACCTGTCTTAGAAACAGAAGGAGCAGTGAGCACGCCAGACATCAAGCAGCATTCCACTTACAATCCTTCATTATACGCAAGAGGAAAAGGCTCTTCTTTTTCAGGAAAAAAAATGCTTCAACAAAAGCAAGACTCCCTTCTTATTAGTCCGTATGGTAGATCATTATTTGTTCCTGTTTGGAGGAAGCAAAAGGCAATAGTTTCTGTGCTGAAAAACAAAACACTGAGAAGATGAAAAACAACAACAGCTCTCCCTGTTTGCACGTATTACCAGGCCTCAATTTTCTCTTCAGCATCCTGTCCAACTTGTTTTTCCCCTAATTATCATAAACTATACTTGCAGACAAATCTCATTTTAGTCTGAGCAAAACTCACCTTATTGAGGTCCTGCCTGATTCAGTGGAGACCATGAGGAATAAGATCACAGAGAAAAGTTGATAAGATAGTTTGATTGCTTATTTTTAATGCAACAAGTAAAAAAGGCTGAGCTTGCCAACTCAAATGCCTAAGAATGGAAGAAAAGCAGCTTTGAGAAATCACTGGGTTCCATCTAACCTGTGTATTAAGTACCAAAGACCAGCACTCCTTCCTGTATAGCTGGGGGCTTCTCCTCTTCGCAAAAGATGGCGAGGTTGTCCTAATGCCTTTGTGTGCATGCTCAGCTCCCTAGCTACCTCTGCGCCTATCACTTCTCTTTATGTTGGGAAGAAGACAGCAAAACCCTTTCACATCTGGAATCCAGCCCAAGGTCAGTGCGTTAGGCAGCAGTTACTTTTCTAAGCAATATAAAAGGCTATTTTGTATTCCAGCTTGGCAACTCTTCATCATCCATTCTTTTTCAACAACTTCTCTGACACCCTCACTGAAACAATTTCCAAACTACTCCACCATTCTGTTGTATAGTAGTGCTTTCTGTCTCACTGCTAGGTGGTCGGGCAAAATAGCTTTTGCTTCTACATGCAAGGAGTTGTAAGTTCTAACAGTTAGGTCCACACACAAGTCCCAGTGAAAAACTGAGTGCTTTAATAATGGTGTGCTAAAGTTTCATGGCCTGCATCTTTTGGCCTTCAGGATTTTGCTTAACACTGCATTGCTTAGTACTTTTTTAGTCTTGTAGTGACAATATAGTCTTTTTCAGTTGAAGATCTTCCTGTTCCTTGAAATCCTTGGGAAAACATGAGAGCTATTTTACAAGAAGTAAGTTTTGACAACATAAACTTCATTGTGTTACTTGCAGAGACCTAAACAACAGTATGTCTGAAAATTGCTACAGGATATTTGTCACTATTCATACAAAGTATTCATATTTTTCCCAGCAAAACTACCATTTCATCTAAAGGAACACAGATGCTCCTTTCAAGTCAGCAGCAGTTTGTGTCACCAAGAATGTTTATTTTCTGTGCCAATTCAGCCCTATGGATATTAAGTGTGAAACATCACAGATGAGCATATGCATGGTGTAATCACAGTGCTACTTTTGGAAAAAAGATAAGTATTCCTGCCATGATTTTACTAACTACATTACCTTTCTTCATTTGTATGAATTCTTTACATTCATGAACAAGCACACGTTGTATACGTATGGCAAAATAGCATCCTAAAGCAGGGGTGTAAAGGGCTAAGAGGTTAAGTGCAGTTGCTAACACAAGCTTAATTAAGCAGGTGAAACACCTCTCTGGAGCAAATCAGATTATCAGTTTCAGAAGGGTGAGTTACATCAGTTCAAAAAGATGCTTAAAGATGACCCACCTTATGCCTTTGGAGTGGGTTATTTCTTCTCGTTACACCTGTTTTTTTTGACCCCTTAGGCTGCCTTCAGAATGAATGCTGAAGCTGCAGGAGTTAACCAAAACTGACCACACTTTTGCAGCAGTACTTAATTTGGCCTATTGTGCTTGCTAAAGGAGATATCAAAGGACTGTCCATAGCCCTTCCACGATATGACTATTTTTTTATCACTTTGAGGTAAGTGATTACTAGTCAGATTCAAACCACCTTAACTCAGTTGCTCCTCTAATGCTTCTTCTAGGATGCAAACATAAACAGCGAACCACAGTCTTTAAGGGGTGTTTGGGTTGACAAATGGTTTGAACAATTTAACTAATATGAGGTAAACATTCAGGTAAGATGTACAGGATTAAAGTTTATTATTCAAACAGGCTAGGTAACATATTTAATGATTCCTTAGTACAGGTAAGGCTGGTCAGACTTCAGAACGTGCTGGCTTTAATTCATCTGGCTTGCTGTATTCTAAGTTCAGATTTCATTGTTTGATTAGGTAGAGGAAATTATTTAGCCTGTACTAATCAATAAAGGTTGTGTGGTTTACACTGAAGCATATAAAGTCCCTCCTCTTAGCCAAGACAAGACGCTTCCCCAGAGACCACCAGCAGGTCCAGAAGTCCAGGGGCAAGGATTCTGTCTGAGCCCACCCCCCAGAACTTCAGCAAACTACCTGCCTTAACCATCTCCTTTTCATTAGAGGCAACAGTTTGCCTCTAAAGTTCTGGTCAACAGTTTGCGTATTTCTAGCTAATAATTTCTAGTTATGCTTCAGATGAGATAGCAGATTGACTTTATTTTCAGTCAGAGACTTTTTTTCTTTGTTTTATGTAAAATATGGCTATGTTTCGCTGGCAAAATTACATAACCTTGTACATTGCAGAGCTTTAATTGTTTGATGCCCTACTGACAAAATGTATAATAATGATTTAAGTTAACAAGAAACTCCACAAAAGTACTTCAGTGCTTTTTTGTTTCCTCTTTGAACTGACAGGAGTATGTGCTGTATATTCAGACAATGGATTTAACTAGACAAGTATTGTGTTGCTGTGACTTATTTTACTATTTTTCTTTTTTTTTTTTTTTTTTTTTTGTCCTTTTGAGCAATCTCATTTTTAAAGATTTGGCTGATCTTCTCAGTTTCTGGTATGTCCCAATTAAAATGTCCAAGAGCTTGCTTAGACCTCAAATATCCAGGTAATTACAGACAACTATGGCTCTTGGAAGGAAGGAATATTATTCTAGTTTGCTGTCTTATTGTCATTTGGGAAATATTGCTGGTGACTGTAAATCACCAGTACTGAAATTAGCCAGCTGTTACACTATTCATCATGATGGTTACAGGGATGGATCACGGCAGTATTTCTGAGTGAGTGGGTTGTGACACACAGAGTAGTCATGAAACACAGTCAGATGATGGCACCTCAGTGAAAATTTTGCACAATATAAAGCAAAGGCAACCTGGCTTCTCCACTCCTGAGAACTTATTTTTCAAGGTCAAGCATGCTTTTCAGCCTCTCAGGAAATACAACATAATTTGTCACTTTTAAAGCCAATAAATGTCAGTTCCTTTTTATGAAGACAACGAGGGTTGCAATTTCTTCCCTTTTTTTCCACATTCAATAATGGTTCTTCATCTGATTAAAAAAAAAAACAACTGTGAAAAATACTGGTTTAAATATTTGGTAGCAGAATCTAGAGATTTGCCCAATCATACCAATTTAAATGTGAGACAATTTGTTGGTCCCTTCTTAATATTTGGGGATCTGTTACGTGATTTTACGATTTCTGCTCAGTTCCCATGTTAGAAAAACGAACACTGCTCTAATTAGGCAGAGAGGTTTTTGGAGATTAAATGATCCTCCTTACATCGTTTAAGATATTTGACAGTAACAAATCATATCAGACAGGCAATCTGAGGGACGATGCGTAGCACGCACTTATACTCTACCTGTTTCCCAAATAATTAGAACATTTCTGGCCCCTAAGCTGTCAAAATCACATTTTGCTCAGGCATCAAACTGTAAAAAAAATTAAGTTCCTCCTGGGGAAGTAATTTAAAATGTTCTCAAACATCTTAATAAACTTACTGTAGACACTTGTGACAAGAATAATTTTCAATAAAAGACTTTCTGCCCTAGAAAGAAAGTGGACTAGATCTTTTCCTATTTTCCAAGAGCGCTCTCAGCGCTCTCCTGGCATGCTGATCAAGATGAATGCTTCTTAACTACTGTATATTTCTTTTTCATTTTTCATTCAATTTCTACCTTCTATATTAATTAAGCCTGCATTTCCTGTGAAGTAACTAAACCTTGTAAGCTTTAAGATGGCATGGTTGTCACCTGCTTTTTGTGACAGCTGCTTTCACTGCTGATTAGAAAACATAAACTGATTTTTAAAAAATGCATGTACTTTACCAGCTTCATAGCTCCTTGTACTGGGGCCAAGTGCAGGACTTAGAATTGCCAACAGTATGACAAAGGGTAAGTGAGAAAGTAATTTAAAATCTTCAAGGCAATAGCCAACTACTTAGGTCTGGAAGTGCACTGAGCCACAGCTGACCTCCAGGAGCTTAGCTGGAGCTAGCCATGAAGAAGGGAAGCAGACTCAGGAATCTTCAGCTGTAGGTACACAGCAGCCTGAGGAGGAATGATAAACTGCTGTTTTACTGTGCACTGGGCACCACGACACAGGAAGAAGTCAGAGCAGAGTGCAGTCGTGCTGTGGAGAGCATGTACTCTGTCCTCAGCAGGGGAAGCCTGTAGTTTTTCTGTGCTATAATTAGTCACTGCCAATGAATACACATTGCGTCACAGGAATTAGGCTGTGCTGTGCTCACCTTTGCCTTCCAAAATTAAGGAAATATCTATCAGTGCCAGCTATTACGCCAAGGGAGTAAAGTACTTGGAACAAATACACTCTTAGCTGTCCAGTCAAGGGTATACGGTCTGCACTGATAGCAAAGATCAACGCAGTTTAAAAGGGTACAGCGCCACCAAGAACAAATTGGAGCATAGCACTTCTTTGCCTTAAGATTCCAATGATAAAACAGTAAGTTGTGTTTTTTGATAGCAGCATTACTTCACATCTGCTCGTTGAGCAGCCTGAGCTTCACATATGCTTTGTCCTCTGTAGGTCCTTCAGTGCAGACGAGGATGTGTCTGTTTTTCATCACTGCAGCTTCCTCCCAGGGGACAGTCTGAGGATTTTGTAGCCTGGTTTATTGAAACAAGCCAGCCAGAACCTGCCACAAATTGGTAAGGTATCTGGTCTGTTGGGAGCATATTAGTGAATCCTAAGGATGCTTGTTCTGATTTGAATAAAATTTGTGAATTAGCAACTCCCTGGAAGCCAATAGAGTTCCAAACCTGCAGAAGTCTTTATGCGACCAGAGATCAGTCTGGATCATGTGAGCAGCTACCTGTCCAATCAACTAAATAATGAGGATGGAAAGACTGGATCCACGTTTAGAACTCACTGCAATATTATATTTACTGTGCACTTTCCTGTGCATCATCAGTGTTACTTGATTGATGCTCCCTACAACAGTGTCACACCATGCAACATCAGTTACTTCCCATGCTCGACATAAAGGCAGTAGGAACTAGTAGCCCAGCACAACCATTTGGATATTCATAGTTTCATCTTGTGTTATTTTTGCAAATATTCTAGTGACTGTAGACCAATGCTAACCGTTGCATAAAAAGACAGTCCAAGCTTGGAGAAAACTGACAGTGTAAAAAGAGAGTAACTGTATTTGCTTTAGGAACATACATCAACACTGAAGGCGCCTGCTCATTCCTGGGCTGGAATTTTCTTCAACTTTGTCTCATACCCCAACTCATAACTTATGGGCAGCACTTCCCCAAGATATTCCCAGCAGTAGTAGTCAGAAGTAGAAGTTAATTGTTATGCCCGTGGCTGTGAGATCAAAGAATGGTTATTTCTTAGGAACAACTAGAGGTAGGCTCTACTGCTCTGTTTGCTCTTGCACAAAGATGCTGTGTTGGAATTTGAACCAATTCTTAGAAATCTTGCTAATTTTCTTCCATTCTTTTCACCAGTTGATGCACTACAACCTGTGGCAATAAGAAGCATTGTGTCACAAGGAATTTTAAAATGCAGCAATAATACATGCTACAGTTGGACACTACAGCTACATAGGCAGTTACAATAGCATCTGTTTCAAAACATAATTGTTACATTGTAAAATTCTTAGACATTAGATAGATGATAAAATTATTTAGCAGTAATTTCACAGTGTGGCAATCATGCTATCACAATATTAGCCTGCTGATTGTTGCTAAATGCGATTTATTTTCCTAACCCATTTTTCTCTCAAACACAGTGCACACCAGAGAGTAGTAGGTATTTTCAATAAATGCCAGCAGCAGCCACTTAAAGTGCCAGCTCTGAGCGTCAAGTGAAAGTGTGACATTGGCAGCTTTCTTCTAACAGCAATTAAGCTCTGGATGTAAAAATAAGAAATGAAAACCCAAATGAAAACCTTGCCTGCAAAGCAATTACAACTCACTTGCAATGCTCATCAACATAAAGTGGGCAAGTAATTGCCTATAGATGGTCTTACAGACCATGTTTATTATTATTTTTTTTTTTAAAGCCAAATTCCTTATGTTTTTAGACTCAAATATTTAATACCTGGGTGTTGATAATGCTGCATACTGATGGACTACGTGAAATGAATCACAGTTCCTAGGGCCCTCCTGGACTGTACTGATTTTTCTACTTTTCAGGAAGCAGAAGAGTAAGAGATCTTCATGTTCATCAGGAACAGCAACCAGTCAAACCCCACTGTTAAATAATTCAAACACAAAGGGAGGTATCTAGCTTCTCTAGACAGAGACATGCATTTGCATGACACTCAACTCAATGGTGACAGACTACTTTCAGTTGACAGCAGTAGTTTTGCCTGCTGCACAAATTGTTCTAGGCATTCAGTATTGATAATGGCAATGCCAATTCTAAGAAAAATAAAACATAAATATCATCTATAAGTGTTCTTTTCCTTTGCAAATCCTAATGTGTTCTACACAGAGCTGTAAGTATTAATTCATTTTACAGCTGAATTAAAGGCACAGGGACATTAAACAATTTATGAAGCATAACAGAGCAGGAACACAAGCTGCTTCTTTTCGCCTATGTCCAGTTGATTGGCCCGACTTTTGGATGTTGAAGGCAACTGTTACTTCTGCTGTGAGCTCAACTAATGCAGCTTTTAGTAACATTATACTTAGTAGAATAAACTCTACCAAACTCAATTTGCATCTCTATCATTAACTTTTCTACTATTCTCATCAAAGCACATACAGTAGCAAGTTAACTGGGCTGGTTCTCTTCTGAGCTGTATTTTGGTAATTCTTTGTAAAAGACCTGAGCTAGCATTAACTATGTAGGTCTCTTCATGCGGGCTTTATGCTGCTTCCTATCCGCAGTGTGCTTACTGGCTGAAAAATCCTGGTGGTGGAGGATTCCTAGAGCTGAAAGCAATAATCATATTCCAGTATTGGTGACTGTTCAAGTATCTATGTTGGGCTTTTTGTGCTGTTATTTTTATTACAGCTGCTCCTATATACCCTATCCAGTAATGGAGTTTCAGTGGCCAAATTCAGTACAAAAAGTACAGGAAGAGCCAATCTCTACTTTTAAAAGTTCACAAAGCATAGCTACATATGCAAGTGAGGTCTTCCAGATACTCATCAGCACTGAGACTTGAGGCATAAGGAAACATGCACTAGTCAACATGTGTTGAAAAGGATATTGTAACACCCTAAAGCAGCTGTGGAGTACAAATGTCCCTGTAGGGAATTCTATTTCTGTAACAGAAAGAAGATGTACGATGTCACGCCTGCCTGGTGAACCCATGTTAACTGATCTTAAGTTCTAGCCCTGTAACGTAGTCCCTAAAGATGGCAACTATGTAAAATGTTGTTCTTTTCTGCAGGAGAAGCCTCAGCTTCCATGTTTCCATCTAAGTCAAAAAAGAAGTCTGTGGTCAAGTTAAAAAGTGAACACAGACCTCCTGAGCTTCAGTTCAACCTGGATGTCCCAAGATCACCCTTTAGTTAGTAGCCTTCACTTTCTTTATAATTTTTCCATAATTTCTGACTTTACCCCTTCAATTCCAAAACTACTCACGACTCCCACTGACAGATACCTCTGCAGGCAGGCAAGACGTGTGAGCAGTTCCTCTCTGTGACATGTGCAGAGTTTGACGGCGTGCTGAAAGGAGCACGCCAGATCCAAAGGTGGCACAAAAGGTGTTCTGGAGCTTCAGTGAAAGCTCAGCTGTGCTTCCAGTATCACAGCTAGCATCCAGAGCAGGAAAAAGGATGGAGGGAAGGACGGAGGCTCTCAGCTTCAGTATGAAGTTGTTTGATTCAGAGCTGGAGGATTTATCTTATGTCTCTTTAGATTATACATTCTTCCCCCAGAGTTTCATAAACAAGGTTGCGTCATGACAGATGTCATTTGTAATCTCTGCAGAATAATCAAACATTTTGTTCTTTCATTATCTTGTCTAACAGCAGGCATTTGCCTACCTAAGAAGGAATCATCTTAGGACATCAGACATAGTCATTATGAGGCCAAACGTAGGTGAGACAGGGAAAGGAGATACTCTGAGATCAGAGACTATTCTTGTTAGCTAGCGAAGGTGATTCATCAGGAAATGTTTGTATAGGGTCACAGATAAGAAAGCAACATTTAGGCCAGAAGCACAAATAACTTGGATTTGTTTGTCTTAAGCTTGATTTCCAGTATTTTATTATTATTATTATTATTATAATTTTGCCTTAGTTCTTTCTGGTGTTTTTAACTATTGTTTCAGATTGCTCTGAATGGAACACTAATGCAAATGGTGAAAGAAAACCAGAACTACTGAGTAGATTCAGCTGTATCAGCCTCACTGATTCAAGAACCCTCCACTGAGCCCTATCCCAGGTTCTGGGGTGGCAGGTTGAGAGCACAGACGGTCTGGGCAGCAGTGGCTTGGTTTCCATGCACTGAGGGTGATGGTTCAGTTGGAGGGCTTCGAGAATGAAGACACTCCCTCAGCTTTCCCAGAGCCATCGGGATCAGCACGCAGGGGGTTCCTGACCCACACGGTATGAGACTCGAGGCAAGGGGCGCAGGACTGTCTGACCTGTACTCCCATCCTTCCGTTGGCTACAGAGGGACGAGGCGTTGTGCACAAGGACGGCTCTCCCGCACATCGCACAGACCTGTTCAGGTACAGCGTGCTCTGTGTAAGCCAGACCCAGCACTGGGCGAATGGGCCCCTCTTTGTAATATTAGCACCCTCAGCACTCACAGTGTCCCACCTCAGAGGAGTTATGGTATCGTATGAGAAACATCAGCCATATGAAGAAGATTTTTGTCTTTTACCTCGGTATTTCAGGAGCGTCGACGTGACATGCAGAGGTAACAAAGCAGGGCGACAGATCCATAAATCGCAAGGCAGATATTGTTAAAGCCAAATTCCTTCTCCTCTCTACCTTAGGTCTCCCAGTGAGAGCCGCCGGACCGAGAGAGAACCATCCGCCGCCCCGCTTCCTCAGCCGCACCCACCCCGCCTCCCATCCCAATGGCCGCTGCCGCCCGCGCGCCCTCTGCTGTGGTGGGGACGGGCCCGGCCGTCGGGTCTCTTCCCGTGGCGCATGCGCGGTGGGGGCAGGCTGAGGAAGCGGGCGGTGCTAACGGCCGTCGCGCGGTCCCTCCTCTCGCTCCTCCGCGGGGGTCGCCGCCATGGTGCTGGAGAGCTTGGCGCGCATCGTTAAGGTTCAGCTGCCCGCCTACCTCAAGCGCCTGCCTTTGCCCGAGAGCGTTGGTGGCTTCCTCCGCCTCACAGGTAAGCGGAGGCCTGGCTCCCTTCCCGCCGTCCTCCCCGCGCCGGGGGCGGTGTGGGGGGCGCGGCGGGGCCGGGGGCCGTCCCGGGTGGTGGCTCTGTAGTGGGGCTGCCGAGGCCGAGCGGGCTGCGGGGGGGGAATGGTCCGAGGACGTTGTACTGCCGTTACGTGGTTACAGAAGGAAAGGTGCCCGGCAAGGGCTAGGATGCGCTGTGAGGTAATGGTAGCAGCCAGGGGAAGCTGTAGGAAAAAGTAAAGTGTATCAGGCCGAAGCGCCCGCACGACGTGGCGCTGTCCCCGCCGGCACCAAACCTGCCTCTCCCTTCGCTTAGAAGGGTAAAGATAGCGTCTGCACGCATCTGACGAGCACAGCAGGAGAGAGCGCTTTCTGGGAGCCTGTTATGTAGTGTGCTGTGGTAATGCAGGCAGAGCCTGCAATAAAGGGGTTGGTTTGGTGATAAGAAGCGAGGGGAATGCTCCAGCCTGCTGTCTGGGAGTAGAAAAGGTCCTCCAAGTGTGGAATCAACCCCACGTGTTCTTCCTGCAGCACTGAGCTGGGTGACTTCAGCAGTGCTGCAAAGTGGTTTCACTGAAAGCTTGGGTACTCGTTGCAGCTTGTTCATGCTCCTTGTAAATGTAAAAGTTGTACTGCCTTCCTCGGGACAAGGAAACCTGCTCCTAATGAACTGTTCATCCGTCTGCACTACTGCACAACTACTCTCTCATTTGGAAATGCCATCAATTAAAAAAAGAAACTCAGCTGTTCTGAACTTGGAGGAGACGGACACAGCAAGGTGCACTACAGGGCAGCTTGTCATACCTTCAGCTTTTGGCAGTTTCCCACTTAACTCACTGCCTTTTAACCTCAAGCCTTAGTTATGATTTATTAAACATAATAATACCTGAACTTAACCTCACCTTGTTTCACTTTTTCAGATGTTTTTGTAACAGGATTAATGTGCAGTCTCTGCATTTGTTCACACTACACAGCAGTTACAGGATTTAATTTTAAAACCTCTGGTCAGAGCTTTTAATTTTTTTTCAATAGAATTAGCTTGCTGTCATATTTTTTTCCTCCACTGATAGGTGCTTGCTCGAATTTGGAGGGAGGGGAAGAAGCGAACAATCGACTCCTTAAGTGAGAAATATCACTTATCTTAAAACATCTAAGCGTGTTAATATTTGTCCTTTGGTGGCATCTGCTGAGCTTAGTCAGGGACTTGCACCACAGAACACTTTGCTAGCATTCACTTTGTTCACAAAGGCAGGCCAGAACTGGAAATAGTGCAGTGCTTTGCTTCTCAGTGCTTTTACTGATTCGTTCTATAATCCTCTGTTAGCTTCCAGCCTGATGCAGCTTGAGTTCCTCTCATGCATCAGTTTTAGAAACAACTGACCAAAAGTGCAGGGAAGAAACTTTCCTGTAGGATATTGCTGTAGCACACTGACTACAAACCTTGAGACAGCTGTTGTGTGTCATGCATGACCTCACCAGACCATAATGGAAAACTGCTTGCTTGGAGAGGGGAAGACTTAATATCCTGTGCAAAACTGCTGAAGGTAATAGCAGTGAGGGAGAAGGGAAAGAATCTGTGTGACCTTAGGCCTGAAAGCGGATATCTGAATTATCACACTGCTGCTTAGATGCCTCTTCCAGTTTCTTGTCATAGCTGCTTTGCCTTTCCCTTCTCAAGCTCGCCAAAATGAATTGAGTTTCTCATGGTGGCTTTGCCTTTTATTCTGCTACGTTTCATTAAACTGGAATACTGATTGACTGCAGAATAACATGTGCTAGCAGTGATAAAAGAGAATTTTAAGGTCTCTGAGAACCTATGTGCTAGTCTCCATGGTGCAGCCCTGTGAGGGATGTCTCACACTTGGGGTATATTTTAAGAGGGACTTTGTGACAAACTGCCAGGTATGAAGTGGACAGGGAATGGCCTCAAATTGTACCAGAGGAGGTTCAGGTTGGATGTTAGGAGAAATTTCTTCTCCAAAAGAGTGGTCAGGTGCTGGAATGGACTACCAGGGGGAGACCTCATTGCACTCTACAACTTCCTAAAGGGAGGTTGTGGTGAAGAGGGGTTTGGCCTCTTCTCCCAGGCAATGAACAGGACCTGGGGAAAGGGTCGCAAGTTGTACCAGAGGAGGTTTAGGTTGGATGTGAGGAAAAACTTTTTCTCTCAGAGTGTGGTCAAGCACTGGAATGGCTGCCCTGGGAGGTGGTGGAGTCGCCGTCCCTGGCAGCGTTGAAGAGGCATCTGGATGAGGAGCTGTGAGATATGGTTTAGTGCTTGTGGTAGCAGTGGGAATGAAAAGACGGTTGGACTAGATGATCTTATGGGTCGCTTCCAACCTTGTGATTCTATGATTACCCAGGGAGGTGACAGAGTCCTGTGATAGTGACCCTGGAAGCGTTCAGAAGATGCTTAGATGTGGTACTAAGAGACGTGGCTTAGTGGGGAAATATTGGTGGTGGATGGACAGTTGGACTGGATGATCTTGGAGGTCTGTTTCAACCTTGGCGACTTTATGATTCTAAGTCCTTTGTGTTTAATTGTATAGCAATCACAGAGTCCTTAGAGTTGGAAGGGACCTAGGTCATCTAGTCCAATTGTCCTGCAGTGAACAGGGACATGCACAGCTAGGTCAGGTTGCTCAGAACCTGGTCTAGCCTGGCCTTGAATGTCTCCAGGGCAGGGCTTCCACCACATCTCTGGGCAATCTGTTCCAGTTTGCAGGAGGCAAAGAGACAAAGCCAGACTCTTTTCAGCAGTGCGCAGCAATAGGACAAGGGGAAACGGACATAAACTGAAGCATAGGAAGTTCTGCACAAATGTGCATAAGAACCTCTTCACAGTGAGGGTGACAGAGCACTGGAACAGGCTGCCCAGAGTGGTTGTGGAGTCTCCTGGATGGCTATTTGTGCAAACTGGTCAAGGGAGCCTGCTTTGCAGGGGGATTGGACTACATGATCTCTAGAGGTCCCTTCCAGCCTGTACAATTCTGTGATTCTGTGAAGGTTCTCCTGCTCCCCCACTCCTCTCAGCCCACAGGTGTGTGGTGTTTTGTTTTTTAATTTGTAACAGTATCTGTTCTCTCCTGCCCTAGAAGCATGGTCATTAGTGTGATACAAATGCTAATTCATAACTAATTAATAATAATAAAAAAAATTAAAAAAAATTGTGCTTAAGAACCACTGCAAATTCAAGCATAGAAAGACTATATTGAAAGTTGTTGCAGTACCATAATCATTTATACAGTTGTGGTGTGTTCTCAGATAAGTGCCAGTAAACATGGATTTCACTCGAAAGGCTGTAGGCAGCTCAGAGAGCACAAAACTATTCCCACAAAGTATTTTCAATACATGGTGTACTTTCAGAACCTTCAAACTCTAAAGAGAGAGCCACTGCATTATAACTGGAAGGGTGTTATCATGAGCATTTGCTTTATTGCTGTTCTGTGAAGCTTAATTGCATTCCTAATATGATTTGAGAGCTCACAGTCTACCTAGCATCTCCAGCTTTGTTCTATTGCATTTCCTTTCTTGTGCACCTTAATCTTGGAAAAACAAAGCGTAGAACAAATTTTTTGTTATGTCCTGATTCTAAATCATTTAAAAGGGGATCTTGATTACAGTATTTTCTTTTACAGAGTGCTCATGCAGCTATCTGTGCTCCAATGTAAAATATTTTTTTTTAACATCCTTCCATTACTTTGACTCTTCAGAAACTGAGAATGTTCTCTTTAGTGCTGCATGCATACTTAAATTGCACTGGAGTATTGTCACAGCTTGCTGCTTTGGAAAAGTTTATCCCCCTTTAAAACAGATCTTCTGGCAGGTGCTGATGCTTTCTTTCCAAGTTCAGTAAATCTTTTTCAAACTCGTATGTCTAGATTTCTAATGATGTAGCAAGGCTGCTATGTCTGCAGGGGATACTTGAATCTCTTACGTGTATGTAGAAGTTTCTCAGCATGGTAAAAAGCATTCTCTGTGGCTTGACTTATCTGAATGTACTTAGCCCATCTCTGGACTTTTTATTTCTGTATTTGCATTGGAGAAACTGGTTGCAGATTCCTGAGAGCTCTGAAAAATAAAGCACCAAAAAACTGGCAAAGACTAACTAGTGCTTATTTCGTAATCTGTGTCGTATCTGCCAAAAGTTTCTAAGCAAGGAAAACTTCAAGAAGGTAAAAATCTGAAATAAGCAATAAAAAATTGAATTATAAAACATGGATAGCTCTTCATATATAGAATGTAAGATAGCAGCATTACGTTTTTTAGTAACTTCCCACAGGTAGTCATGCCCAGGCTGCTCGTTCATGCTGGTTGTGACTTCAGGTGAGCAGAACTGCAGCAATTTTGGAGTTCCTTATTTTAGTACCTCTTTTACTTGTTTTGAATTTATTTGCTTCCACTGAGTCGTTCTGTAGAGTTTTAAAACTGAACTTGAGATGAAATTCCACGAGTCCAGTTTGTACCTCGCCTACAATAAAATCCAGACTTTTAACCTGAAGCTTTTATTTTTGACTCCCTTGGCTCTCACCTGCCTTCAGCCCTGCTGACTCTGCAGTCCTGCTCCCTACCTGATGTCTACACCACTTCAGAATAGCTGGTGCTGCCCAAGACTGAAGTGGTGCCAAGAGCCTGTTTAAATTCCACTTGTCTTTAGTTTCAGAATGGCTGCGGTTATTGCCTTTCCTGGGTGTGCTGGCCTTGCTTGGGTACCTTGCCGTTCGTCCGTTCCTTCCCAAGAAGAAACAGCAGAAAGATAGCTTGATTAACCTCAAGATCCAGAAGGAAAATCCGAAAGTAGTGAATGAAATAAACATCGAAGATCTGTGTCTCACTAAAGCTTACTGCAGGTGTTGGCGTTCTAAGACGGTAAGATACCTTGTTGCTGCATCAGGATGAGAAGCTGAAATTTGCAGTATTTTTATCAGTTTTGAGGTGGTGGATGGCAGCAAGTTGTCCTGTTGCTTTTCTCTGAGGGTGGGACAGGCTTCTGAGAATTGCATAGTTCTTTCTTTTCTCTACCATAAACTCACCTACACGCAGAGAGAAACTGTTCAATCTTGTAAAGTAGCACGGTATGGTTTTCCTAGAAAACTTACCAAGTGACCATCTGTGAAAAGCATCATTAAAGCAGCCTTAAGATTTGAAAATAGAAGAATATATGATGCCAAAACAGTGTTTAGAAAACTTTACATATTAGAATGAAAATGGGACCTGTGTTTAGACAGAGCATATCCCCAGAACAACTAATTGATCAGTCTGTGTCCTGAGTCAAAAAAAGGTAGATGGGTATTTCTCATCTAGTTTCTTATGATTCTGACATCACTCTGGTTTTAGCTTCTTTGGACAGAATGGTTTCCTGCTTTAACAAAAAATTGTGCCCTCAACCTAACGGAGGTCTCTGAAATTCTCTCCCTTCAGAAAGATCATTTCAGCAAAGGGAGGAATGGGGGGGGAGGGGGCAGGTTTTTTTTTCTTTTTTTCTAGCTAGTAACATGTCAGAGGTCTGATAGGGGAAGGGAGTTGAAATGGGACACAGTTGGAGGAACTACCAGCTTTGATAAAGTGTTCTCAGCAAAGGAGGGACTGTGAAAATCACTGTGTAATTGCTGTACAGAGATGTACTAACCTCTTGTTTGTTTTCTTCCAGTTCCCTGTCTGTGATGGCTCTCATAACAAGCACAATGAATTAACAGGAGATAATGTAGGACCACTAATACTCAAGAAGAAAGAAGTATAGCAAATTCTTAATCCATTTGCTCATGACTGATGAGTCTTTTATACCACTGTAGTTGCAAGGAGCAGCATTTTATTATTATATGATTGGTATGATTTAGTCCAGTGATTGCTGTAGATTTTTTTTGAGATAAAGTACATTTAGACAGTGCTAGATCTGTAACTGTTTTGATACTTTATTCTAAGAATTATTATGTCTGCTTTGTAAAACTGTAAAGTAACTATTTCTGTAAATAAGTCATTTGTTTCAACAATAAAATGACTTCCTGCAGTTGAGCCTTTTTTGTATGAACATACAGTAACAAAAAAGTCACTATTTCTAGGTAAGCAGGTCAACCAGTAAAGTTGCCCCTTTATTCTGGGCCCATTTGTCGTCGTTCATGTGCATGTAAGGAAGCTCTTTGAAAGTTCACTTGCACTGCAGAGGCTATTTCTTTTAGCAGGGACAGTCATAGGAGGAGTTGGCTAAATGACAGAACCAAGAAAGTGAAGTAAAACTGTGTTCTTGGCTTCTTACTGACTCATTAGTAAGACAAGTCAGAACTGTGCTGTGGTATGGCTTAACTTCAGTTATAGGTAAATAATTGCTACTTATTCAGCTGTTAGACTCCACACTAATTCTTCTAACGTGCTTTATTCTTTAATGAAAGGCTGCTTGTTCAAAAGTAGAACTTTAGATGCATGCCCCAATTTTAGACAATTGTCTGAAGGGAAGATCTTGACTATTCTTTAACAAGCATTTCATTTGACCTGTTCTTAGGTAAGAGGGGAAGCCCCACAGCAGCACACTGTTGCCAAAGCTCATCATCCCAGTGCTGAAACAGAAAGTGAGTCAGGAGGCAGTTCTCACACAGTGGCTGTCAAAGCAACAGTGGAACTAATAGAGACAGTCCCTGCATTTTTAACAGGTGTGGTCCTAGGTGCTAAAAGCTCTTACCACACAAGAAACTGTGGTACATTAGGATGTGACTGTGGGTTAAATTACTGCTTTCTACAAAGTGTACTGAAACCACAGCACCATCTATCTTTATTTAAATGTTTCATGGAAACCTTATCCTGATGGGTGAAAGCAGCCTGTAAACACTATTGTATTAGGATCTAACACTTAGAGAAAGAATAGTTATGTAAATACCTTGTACTATGCTCTGTTTCACTCTTAGATGCATATACTGAATGCTAAGTTCAATTCTTGGGTTTGGTGGAAAAAGTGCTAGGTGAAATAGAAAAACTCACAGCCATTACAGCAATTATTCTATACAAGTCTTTATGTACTTCCAGCTTCTATCAGGATACTCTCACATTCAGATAATTTCATTGCTTTCTGTGTACAGCAATCCTCTTTTCTGTTGTTCCACTTAGACAAATGCTGCTGAGGTAAGTGGTACAGCAGAAGTGAATTTTCTCCCAGAAATCTCCTTTAAAAAATGACAATGTGATGTTTAGCCTCTTGCCTCCACCTCTCGCACATTTTGATTATGTAATTGTTTTTCCCCTGATTTCTGTTGGATGAAACTACTGCTAAACTACCTGCAACTCTGGCTACAGAAACACATGGTGTTTGGTTTGGTTTTGCTTATGTCTCTATGGCAGTGGAACCTACATGAGGTATAGTTTAGCAACAACAATGTATCACAGTTCCTTTTTAGAAAGGACATCTTACTTATTTCTACAGGATAGTCATCTTATCTTGCTTACAATCTTTTTTACTATTTCCCTGCATTTCAAAATGAATCTGTGAAGGGAAAACTGCCTCATGTGACCACACTTAAAGTTAAGGTGAATCCCATCTTCATGGTGGTTTTGGAGCAGGCCTTAGTCAGGTGCAGCGAAGAGCCCTAACAAGGGGATTGCGCATTCCTGTAGGGTAATTTTCATACTCTTGGCATTAAAAATCCCTTCTTTTGCTGCAATTGCTGCCTGTAAAAGTACAGCTATAAAACTGAAGTAAACAAAAGCTGAACAACACTGGCTGTAGTGCTTTGGCTGCAGGAATTTCAAACCAAGAATTGTTCTGCTTTTGTTTATCAAAGTAAGAGTTTTGTTTCAGCCTACCTGCCAGGTAAAAACAGCTGTGTAATGGATTCACGTCGCGTCAGTCTGAGAAGGACAGCAAAATGCATCCCAAGATGAAGAAGGATACCAGAGCCTTTATCATCCTCTCTGATTTCAAGAATCCATGGAAGTTAGGTGTCTGTACCTGCACTCACCAAGTAAATGAAATTTTCTTGGACTGCTGAGTTCACAGCACTGAATTGGATTGGCTTATCTGAGCCTGTGCTGTTTGCAATTTGGATTCTTCATCTGCAAGCCAAATGCAAGAAGTTTTGCTCTTAATTTAATGTGATGTCCTTTGGAAGACAGATGCAAAACATAAAAATAAAAAAAATTGCTGAATTTTCACAGCTTGTGCTCTAAATGCAAGTCTTTGCAGCAAAAAGAAAAACCAGCCTCACAATTTACTTATCTGTTCAGATTCTCTCTCTAAAGTCTGTGAGCTAAGCTAAGGACTGAAATGTCTGTGAAGCCCTCAGTCTCAGCAATGATAGAGTTGAACGCATTACCTACTAAGGTGTGCTGGGCTCTCTTGGCACTGGGTGACTTTTCTATCCTTAGTTGGAAGCCCCACACAAGGGGATAATAGCATGATAAATACCAGGACACGGGTGGTAGACCAGACCAGATCTTCACTTGTCTTGATGCAAAGTCGGGGAAAGCATAGCAGGGCATGTCATACCATGATGCCTTACTCTACTAGGACAGTAGTAATGACCTCTTTCCACTATGAATTTGAACAATCACTGTAATAAACTACAAATAAACCTGCAAAACAAATATACTTAGATAAAGATGACTTATTTGTGTCAACTATTAGACAAAGCAAGTGCGATTCAAGCACCACCTGGCCCAAAATTTCACTTCTTGGACTCCATTTAAAGTGCAAAAACTATCATTTACCGTTTTGTGGCCATACTACAGCCTGAGCATTTCACAATTAATTCTAGACGTCATCTGAATTCTCCAGAATGTTCAGTTTAGCTGAAAAAGGAAGAGAGTGATTATAATTACATTGTTATTTCATCCCTGGCTCATGCTACTTCCTGCTTCCAGATGGCCCCTTTCTGTCTTTACTCGTATGCTGCCTGCTCTAACTGCCTGCTGTGTGCCAGCAGGGCTGTGCTATGCTGTCAGACTGTTCTGCTGCTGAGGCTCTTCTGAACCTTCTGGAACTGCACATGCATGCAGTGCTCAGTATTCTCCACCTTGCACTTGTGCTTATGTCTGCATGACAGTGGGACTCCCCCAGTTACAGTTACTGCATGTTGCACACTAATTTCAGTTCCTCCAAAAAAGAGACTGTTTGGCATGGCATAAAGATTTTATTAGCTTGAATTTATGCATTATTCATGGATGATTTCATGGCATTTTGTTCAAAGGGAGGGGGCCCTAGTTGTCATGACTTCACCTCTGCAAACTCTTTCAATTAACTCCTATTTAAATGCAGCTGAAATTGTCACTTATTGTACTTATTGACAATATCTCAGCCCCGATATAACATTTCTTCTCATGACAAGATGTGTTTTGTTCCTTTCTAGAAAGCAAGGAGCATTATATAGCATCAATGCTTCTCATTTTAGATCTGCAGGACTGTAATAGCTTCAATGCGATTCTTATTCACAACTTAATAAAGGCTCAGAGAAAGGGGCCCTGTGACAAATACACTCAGTGGTGAGGAAAGGAAAATTGAATTTCATTTGTGAGACAAAGGTACAGTTGAATCAGTGCAGCTATTCGGGGTCTAGAATGATGTGAGGAGTGATCCTGATAACTGAACTGAGAGGGAACTAAGATTAAGGGAACACGATAGAGTCAATTTATGAGATGGCGAGCAAGGCTGTCAGGCTTATGATTGTGTTCAAATTTAAAGGGCTATAATGCTTACACTGTCACTGAACACATTCCAAATGTGGTGCAGTGATCACTCCTTGAAGGAGAGTTTTTATTTTCTATAAAACTTTGTAAATAAACCAAACTATACACAGCTTCTCCTCTACATTTTAATCACATGAAGTGTATTATTTTATAAGCAGCCACTGACGAACTGAACAGCATACTCCTTCACTTTACCCATTAGGTCTGCACATACTACACTTTCCAAATGCAATAAGCTCCTTATAAAACTATCCTCGTTTATGCAACTGAGTACCTCAGTGAGCCATGCACAGCAGGCAGGAGGGACACAGAAGTCAGCGCTTGACACAGTAACCATCTCATGCAGCACTGGAACCGTTCATCAGTCTGTACAGTTTGAGAGCACCTTCTTCTCTTGTCAGGGAACAAGCATTAACTGAAGACTGTATGTTCCCTAAAAGTGGAGAGAACAGCAGCGCATATGGTAAGGAAGCCTGGACAAAATGAAATAATAATCGTACTTCACAGCTGTCAGGGGAAAACTTACCCAAGAATTTCCTGGTGTTTATCATTGTGCTGGAACTGCAGGCCACAAACCTTAAATATTTTTAAGAACTTCACTTTTTGGCTAGAACCAGTCATATGAAAAGGTACACATACTGATTATTATGTATATACAGAGACATAACACACGCACTCCAAATAATACAGGTACATACAGTTTCCCTTTAAAGGTATTTTCTTATTACGTTGCATAATAAAATACAGGAGCTAAAACAGAATTGCATAATGCTTACTTACAGAAACCAAAATATATGGACACATCAAATACATTCTGAATAGTGTTCTGTAAAACAATCTCAAATGAACTGTACCGTAGAACTCTGTGGGCAGCCACTGTCCTCTTAGATCTCAAATCTGTGTTTCTAAACATAACTAAATAAAACTCAGTTTCTGAAGGATGCTGGATTCATTTCATGATTCAGAAAGCAGTGAATGTCCTACTTAGAGCTTGTTACTCACCCAAAATGTAGCAGAGCAAGAGAGATTAAACAATCTCTGTAACCGGCAATGCTAAACCCTAACTGGTACGAAAGCTGAAGACAAGAGCAGGGTTTTCTTCAACGGTTTGTTCTTGACTTTATGAAAGTCAAGGAGAAGAGAAAGGTAACAGGTTATATGAGAAGATCAAATATAAACTATACTGTACTGACTGTGCAGAAGGCATCAATATTAAACAAAGAAAAACCCTCCAAAAAACGTTTGAACTTTTTGCTCCTATGGCAAAATATTTTGGTAAGAGATCCAGTATGCAACTTGTGCTTCTAGAAAGACCCACACAAGTGGTGGGTTCATGCTCACTGCTTTCTCATGACAGCATGTCATTCTTTCTGGAGGAAGGTGTGGTGGGGCTCCTTTCCCTTTGTAACATGCCTCTCAGTGATGCTTTCCCCAGGCTCTTCATTTAAATTCTATTTCTCTATTGATCAGAGTAAAAAGACCTTGCCAAACCTAAGAGGCCTCCAATCTCCAAAACAAACACAACCATTTACCCCTTGGAAAAATGAGTATTAACTTGATAGGTTTTAGTAAATACTTGTTTTATTTTGCCACAGTTAAGCAAATGCAGATGTGTGAAGGATCAGATCATAGCATTTTCATAGACACGAGTATAAACTTAGAACAAGAGATACCTGCTGATTCATAAATCCTAATTTGAGGTCTGTCACTACCGTCAGGTTTCCCAAAAGGAGCTGAGGAAGAAAGAAACAACTCGTTGCTACCTCGGCATTGCCATGCCAGCAAGCTCCATCCGTGGGGAGTTCTCTCCTGTCCTAGAGTACACACTCCCAGTGGCTGACAAGCTGGCTTTCATTGGCTTGACACAGAGATGCACAAAGGCTGAAGTACACACGCCAGGAAGCAGCCATCCCAATCCCATGTAACTTTCTCCCAGTCCTTACGGCCTCTTTCATCTTATTTTCAAGCTTGGTTCTTTTCACCGGGTACTTCTTTATTACCACAGCCTCACTGGAACTGTCTCTTTCAGCACATAAGCACTGCTTGCTGCTTCTTGCCATGACCAGAACTGACAGTCCCTTGAAGGTACAAAGGAACGTGTGAAAGAACAGCAATGGAAAAAGGCAGGTTTTCAAAACTGAATGAGGAAGGAGAGGGAACCATCTCCCTCTGTGAGATCTGTGGCAGGATTTGTTCACTGTGTGTCAACAGTCCTAATTCAGTTGTTGCATTCTTTGAGCTGCTGAACTTGTCATCTTACTGTCCAGTTTTAACCATCAAGAAGCTATCACATCCATCTCCATTTTCTTTTGTTCATCCACCTACTGATCCACTCCATAACTGAACAATTCTGATCCTCTCCCTGGCCTCACACCCACATGTTTTTAGTAATTGATGACTGCTAACTTTGGAGTGACTCACTGCCTGGTCAGCCTATTTGCTGTATATTTACCTAGTTCATCTCTTAAGGCACCATCAACACAAAAAAATATTTTGTAAAACTCCACCAGACCTGCTTTTAAAATAGTAGTGTATCCGACACTTGTTTCGGTTTTGTCCAGAAAGATTACAGACACAAAATGTTTACTTAACAGAAGTGTAAGAGCTGAAGGACCACATTCCCATAAATGCCTGTCTTACGAAGGCTCACAGTCCTCTGGCTCTTCTCCAGCCACAGCACCTTCCTCATTTTCCTCGTGTTTTGTCTGAGACTTCTGCAAAAGTCTGGGCCCTGCCAAGCCAATAACTAAGGCTCCAATGGGAGCAGTGATTAAGATAGCCAAGAAAGCTACTGTTAGTACATCCATTCCATACTTTTCCAGTTGCTCATCCTGATGACTTCTTGCTGTATCCAGGGCAAGGGAACCTATTGCAGCCTGCAGGAGAGAAAGGATTGCTGAAATGGAGGAAGGAATCTTCCTCAGCGAAACAGGAAAAAAAAGGGAGTAATCCTCAGTCTATGCTTAACATAAATTCAAAATCTGTAATTTATTCAAGCTCCTTAGTTTCTAGGCAGTATACAAAAAAGTAAGGGTTCTATCAGCCCTGTATGAACAATTTCCATTTGGCTATGTGAATTTCCTAGGCAAGTGAGTCAATCTGAGTGGCTCCCTCTGGTGAGGAGTGTGGCTTAGCTGACACGTTATCAATTTCCAGAGAACGTGTAATTAATGTAGGCCAGCACACTGCATATTGGAGCTGTTAAAATCCCATACCTTGAGAATGTGTCCTGACAGCAGTCAATGAATAGCAGCTTTGCAAAGATTAGTTCACAATTCTTGCAGTAATCTCTGCCTGTTCCTATTATTAACTTCTGCTTAGAAACTACCATGCTTTTGAGGCAAAGTCCAGGTGATGTAGCAATCACTGAGCAAGAATGCAACCAGCCTGAGGCTTCTCTAGCAATAAGCCAGCCGTTATTAGAACAACCATGAAATAAAAATCCATTCTGAGCCTCAAGTGCAACTGTGTCAGTGAACACTTTATGTGGTATTGGAGAGAAACACTTTCAGACTTCAAGAGTTCTCAAAATCTCTATGTAAAAGACACAATAATCTGCAGAAACTGATAAATAGTTATTCTGTGATTAAGTATTTACATGTACATTCACCATTATTATTGGGAGTATGACCCAGGATGCAAGCTAAAAATCCCCCCATGGCAGTCCCCCATGGCCTTTTCAAGCAGACTTAAGACAGGGCAGTTCAGAATATGAACTGTCCACATATCGCACTCTGCTGTTAACAGGGACCCAATCCTCTCCCTGTTTAAGGCTGTGCTAGTGAAGAAGAGCTTTGCTAAAGACTATAGATCTAGCCTGGAATGAAGATGATGTTGGGCTGTTTTACCTGCACAGTGGCTTTGGGAATCCACGCCAGTGAGACAAATACTTTCTCCTTGAAATTAAACCCAGCAAAACACACCATCAGGAACGTCGCAACGATTCGCACAACTAGGGCAATACCTAGTGTAGCTACACAGAGCCCTGAAACAAAGACAAGTGCTTCTCACTATTTTTGTGCATAGGTGCCTGAGGGAAAAAAGCCTTCTAAAGTCACAGCTTTACAGTGATTCCAGTATGTTGTTTTTTGTCAGCCATACTGCTTTACTTAAGATTTCTTTCTGGAGATTCTTTGGAAGCTAGAAATAAAATTGGATAACTAGTGACAGATCTTACCAACAGTTTCAGGCCTGAGAGATGTAACAGATACTTCGGCTCCGATCAAACCAAAAAGAAAAGGTTGAAAGATATTCCAAGCAATGGCAACAATTTTTTCTACTTCCCTCTGCAATAGTAATAATAATAATAAAAAAAATCCATCAATTCACACACATACACAAAACAACCCAAACAGCAACAACCAAAGCAGGCACAATTAATCAAACGACAAAATGAAAACTTATCATAAATACATTCCAGAATTGTTTTTTAGACTCCTAGTTTATGGTGAACTTTGATCTAATACTAAAGCAATCTGTAGCCTAGAGAATGAAAATAAAGCACAATTGATTTTCACTGTTTAGGAAGATGCAACTTCAAAAGTTTTGCAATGAAACTGATTAGCTTTTGGGAATTGCATGCTCAGACTTGTTCCATTTGCACTTGAGCAGAGTCAGACCCTGAAAAGTTTCAGTAATGTCTACTTGCACCACACTCAGGTAGAAACCAATTTCCACATGAGCAGGAGCTAGATTGGGTAAGCCTGAAATCTCTTACTAATGAAAAATGCTGAATGTCTCTGTGTGATTACTGTATGACTGCAAAACCATCTTCTCTCTTTGTGCTTGAACTTTACACCTAGCGCTTTTCCTAAAGCAACCTGCTGCCAAAGTAAACAGGAATCTTCCACTTAGTTGAAGAGGTACATGTAGCATCTCTAACACCACTTTTTAAAAGAAGTGGGTTCTGCAATAGCAGATGAACATGCAGGCTGCAGTGTGTGAGGATGCATAGCCCAGGTGTGTACCGTCCCTCACGTTCTCTCTGGACTGACCATTCAACATGGCAGCACCTCTGGCTCTTCTATCAATGGAACAGTGAGATAACTGCAATACAAAACCTTATGTAAACTTAAAAGAGAATGAGGTGGAAACACACAGACCTGTAAACTTTTTTATTTGCCTCACTTCTCCCTGCTAACTTACTCTGCTTTCTTTTTAAAAAAATAATAAAATTCTTTCCAGATGTTTACTTCTCATTTAACTACTTCAGCAACAGGTACAATGTCCCTTGTTCTCTTCTGATGCTATTTGTTCACTTCCACCAGAGACAGCACCGGTGGCCTTTGTGATGCTCAGCAGGAAAATGTTGGTAACACTGAGTATTCAGTAAGCAGATCTCTCTGGCTGCATCTGATAAAAAGAGCTAAGGTGTTTGAAATCATCATCAAACAGCCTCTCCTACTGATCAAAAGAATTTAAACTAAGTAGGTAGTTATGGACTGCATACGCTTTTGTAAGCACTCTCCTTCAGAAGTGGCTTAAAAGCCTTCAACAGTGAGCTTTATGAGCTTTAAGGTTTTTAACTATTTCAAGTCTCAAGTTTCCCCTCTTTTAAAACTGGACAACAATGTAGTATTTTAAATAGAAACCATGGTTTCTTATTTGTTATTTTAACAGATGGAGAGATCGTACTGAGGTCAGGTTCTAGATGGGAATAATAATATATACAGTCCTTGTTCCTTTCTCCTCCCTTCTCTTACTGCATGCTGCAAGGCTACAGATATGAAAAGGAAAATCGCCCTCAAACATTAAGTGCAGATGGTATCAAGAAAAGGGGCAGTGAGACATATCAAGATACAGAAAATCAGCAGGGCAAAAATAGCAAGAAACAGGCTTCATAGCTAAAAGAAAGTGGCTTAGAGACAGTCTTTTGTATGGTTTCTGAACAGCTTTGTATCACCACTTAGTGTGGGCACCCTGCTCTCTGGTTATGCAGAATATACTTGCTACGATTTGGGGAAAGCAATAAAATGGTTAATTACTGCTTTCCATTTCACCCCCTAAAAATCACAGGGAACAAACGCTCAGGATATTGAGGCCATGTTCAGAACTGTATTTGGACATCTGTTATTAAAACTTACCTTTAAATGACTGTGTAAGGCTACAGAGACTGTCACAGAGCTGGGACTAAGCTTCAGATTCCTCATCAAGTGCCATGACAACTAACCTTCCTTTACAGGGCTTAAAAGGTATTGCACTGATGTTTGAGAGAAGCTCGTGAGCATTTTACTGTCAGTATAACATTACCTCATCCACATACATGGTAACTTTCTGTTACACTAAAGATTAGGAGCAGTTCTACATTTATTTTCATAATCTGTACTTCCCATGAATCTACATAAATGGGCCACTGCCACTCCTGATGGAAATCCAAACTTCTGCTAAGCTGTGCATTCAAAGGAGTTCTGGTATGTTGTGCATAAACATTCACCTTTTCCTCGGACCATCCCATGCCAGCAATAAAAGCTAAGACTAATGTGCAGAGCCCTCCTGATCCAGGGAAGCCAAAATAGACACTGCCAAAAACAGCAAACATGGACAGTCCAAGCACAAAATACGATCTCTTCCATGACAGAGATGCCTGCAAGCAAGCAAAGAAAGAAACAAAAAAAAAAAGTAAATTTATGTCTGGAAATGGCGAATGTTCACATCTACTAATTTGAAGCTAACAGAGGGTACCACTGTGGAGGAATCAAAACTTTTGTTTGAGACTTGAACTATGCAGTTGAGTTAAGGAGTTCTTTGGGACATCAATTCCTAGCAAACTATAGTTCTGAAATGTCAATATTTCTTTTCCTCTGCCCATCCAAAATCTTACTGCCAAAACACTTTTTGCATAACAAGGAATATGATGCTCTATTCTAACCTTCCTGCTTCTAGGCTATGATAACAGGACCTCTACCATGAAGAGCCGGAGCTTATCCAAGGAGGGGTTAGATCATTGCCACTAAGTGTTTTTAAGGACAAAGGTAGTTTCACAGCAGTTACATCTCTGTAAGTGTTTCCCATGTCTAGATATCAGTTGATTTCTGTGCCGCATTTCCATGTTATTTAATAAGAAAATTTGGTGCCACTGATGGCAATAGCTGTTGTTCAAACTGATTTCAGTATTCAGACTATATGCTTTTTTCTACAATTTTGTTTGTGTAGTTACCCTTGATAGTAAATTCATCTACCACTTTATATAAGCTTAATTACTAATGAAAGCACCATTCTAATTAGTGTTGATAATATCCCAAGCGTGTGATCTGCACATTTCTAAGATGTTTCCAGTAGGCTAAAGATTAAACATGAGCAGAGGTAAATATGTTGCACATCAATTCAATCAATCATTATTCTACTCATACTACTCAATAGGCATCAGATCCTTTTCCCTTTCCACATGAGCATTTCCAACACCTCTACCACTTGCGGGTACAGGATTGTGAACTGGGTTCCAGGCTCTCCATCAGGAAGGACTGTGAGATCATACACTGCTATTGTTGCAGTACACAAACAATCATCCTTAAAACACTTCCTTGCTTTGTAGGCTTTGCAATTTAGAAGCTGTTAGAGCTGTACACTGCTTTCTCACAAAAGGTGTCATATGAAGTTTGAAAATGAATAATATAAAAATGGCATTTATAAACAAAGAATATCTTACATAGAGCAATTTTAAACAAAAACTTTTTTTTTTTTTTAACCTGATCATGGCTTGGGAAATACCGAACAAACACTCCCAGAATCCCACCAGCTGCTATGCCAACAGCAACCTCCAGCACTCCTTGGAGCACATTGTACAGAGTGGAACCTATTTGGCAAAAAAGAAGTGTGTTAGAATCATAGAATCACCAAGGTTGGAAAAGACCTAAAAGATCATCCAGTCCAACCGTTCACCTATTCCCAACAGCTCCCACTAAACCATGTCCCTCAACACAACATCCAGCCTTTCCTTGAACACCCCCAGGGTCGGTGACTCCACCACCTCCCTGGGCAGCCCATTCCAGTGCCTGACCACCCTTTCTGAAAAGTAATACTTCCTCATGTCCAGCCTGAATCTCCCCTGCCGTAGCTTGAAACCATTCCCCCTGGTCCTATCACTGATGACACGAGAGAAGAGGCCGACCCCCAGCTCACTACAGCCTCCCTTCAGGAAGTTATAGAGAGCAATGAGGTCTCCCCTGAGCCTCCTCTTCTCCAGGCTGAACATTCCCAGCTCCTTCAGCCTCTCCTCATATGGCCTGTGTTCCAGACCCCTCACCAGCTTTGTTGCCCTCCTTTGAACACGTTCCAGGGCCTCAATATCTTTCTTGCCGTGAGGGGCCCTAGTTACCCTAAAGTTAAAGTTCAGTTAGTTAAAGTTACCCCTAGTTACCCCAGTTACCCTAAAGCAGAACCTTCACTCACAAACCACGCTGTATATCTATGAGAATGATTTCATTATGGTCTCTGCTCTAAATTACAAAGGGGAAGGAAGGGCCTCAGGAGAGAACCCATGAGCCTGCAAGAACTGGAAAGTGCAACTTTTGTGCAATTTTTTGCTTATGCCAAGAAAGTGTGCCAAGGAAGTCAGAGAAAAAAAAAAGCACTGCTAGAGCACTGTCAAACCCAGGGATACTTGAGACCATTTATTCTGGGCACAAGGGAGCTGGACATGGCAGTTATGGAAAAAAAACAAAACTGTTTTCTGAAAGCTGTGATCCACACCTCAGAGTAAATGAAGTTACACCAACACTTTTGATCATGGGTAACTTCTCTGTCCATACTGAACTCCATATCTAAACCTCATGAGGAGCTGTCATTAAGATACAAACCAGTCAATCATAACAAAGCATACATTCCTCAAAATATCACAGTTTGATCTGGTTGTCACCACCTATAGATTAACTCGCATACCAGAAGAGAAAGCCATCCCAAGGCAAGTGTTGAAGCCTGTAATAGCCAGAATGTCATCAATGCTTCCAGCTGCCATTAGCAAAGTTGGGACACCTTTCTCCACTCCATATCCCCCAGCTTGTAAGATCAGCATTGAGGGAACTACAACAGCAGGAGAGACTGCACCTAGAACAAAACTGAAAACACAGGGTTTCAGCCTCTCCTAAATAGCAAGCACTAAACTGAAAAGCTTCAAAACATTATGATCTCCCTTCTTCTAAATTTTAAGTACACAGACCTGCACATAAAATATCCTTACCTCTCCTTCCTAATTACAAGCATGGATATTTCCCTGCAGATCCACAATCACCTCTTACTTCCTGTTCACCAAAATAATATTAAAAATCAAACGCTCCACAGGCTAAGAATTGACTCTACACTGCAGGCCAGTTCTCTCTGATACATGCCTTGACTACCCACTTTAGGAACCTGGTCTAGATGCTCATGACTTGTGAGTTCCTACTCAAAATTCAGCGTGTGGCAGGAGAGAAGTTCATTTATCTCCTTCTAGTATACAGTCTGGAACTGAGTCCAGTTCAGATAGAACCTAGATGGAAGAAGTTTCCTCTTCAAGGATATTACCCCACAGTGTAACATACCATGTCCTTATTTTCAACTTGTGGTAGGAAGACTGTTCTGTATAAATTTCTCAAAGCGGAAATTCTGCATTCCAGCACAAACTTGTGGTATCATTTTCTTTCCCTAAAAGCCCTCTGCCTTGTGGCTAAAGATCCAGGGATTGCACCATCTTTCTTCCTTCTATAAGTGCCCAGATCACAGTCAGAGAAGAGCAAAGATGCAAGTACTTCTCTACATCTGGAAATGTGACCTTTAAATTAGCTACAGAGCCAGACATGAATGGTAAGCAAACAGCCACAGGGGCTAAGAACAGCGTGAGGTGCCTGCTTGGCAGAGAACTAACTGCATGTGGATCATCTAGCTGTAACAAAAAAGTCATATAGGAGAAAAGATGGTACATTACCCTAATATAAATCCCCACTGCCATGGCAAATGCATGAGTAAATAGGCAAAAACAGCAGCTGTGCATGTTTCCGAGAGGCATGGTCCAAAAGAAAGCCGTAAGCAGACTGCTTTGAGCTTCCTAAGAGCCTACAACATAAAAGCAAATTCAGCCATTAGCACCAGTACCTCTGGCTTCATAGAGAGCAATAACTTTTATGACCTGACATCATTTATTAAAATAATTCCCTCTAAGTTGCAGTACAGGATATGACAGTTTTACATGACTTATGCGAGAGATAGGCTCAAGCAGAAGTGGATTTGGATATAAAATTGCATGTGTGGCAGTGAAAGCCAACAAATCTGTGTTAAATGAGGTTCCCACACACTTTGGCTTCTTGTGCAGAGCAAACAGTTCTGGAGTGGCTGAGGTAACTACAGTTCATTTGAGAAGTGCACTCTCACCGCAGCTATCTCACCCACAGTTGCTTGACGTAATTTTCACTGTCCACAGAAGTTTTTGCTATCATCCCACAAGTTGCATAAGCAACCCAGAAATAATTCCAAAGTCTCAACAAATCAGAAAATTTTTACGTAGAGCTACATAAAGTTGGAGAAAGAAGCCATGCACTACTTTGAGCTGTCTCTCACTTGATATCCAGAGTAGATTAAATTCTACCCAAAAACTTCACTAAAAGAGAGTATTTGCTTGTAAAAGTAGCTTTTATTAGTTTATCCTGAACATGATTCTGCCAGGACAAGTCCCTAATTTTGATATGGATAAAAACAACAAGTTGCAGTTTATCCCAGCATAATTAGGGCTGAGAATCACTAGAGCAACTGGCATCTGTCTTCACAGCTTCAGCTACACAAGGAACAGCTGTAAGCACATCAAAGCATTGCTACATATGGAGTCCAAATGACAGCTTCGATTGCCACATGGGAGACAAATGAGACAGAGATGAAGTTCCTCTGGCCAAAAAAGATGCAGAGTAGAAAAAAAATCATTGTCACCAAACTGGGCACAACTCACAGGCTGTGCTAATACAAGTGTCAGTACAAGTGTCAGTACCTTCATAAAAAGGACAAATAGTATACTTAGGAAAATCATTTGTTCAAGAGTGACAAAACCTATTTTTCTAAAAATCTGAAAACTGGAAACACTGTAATTTTCATCTTGGGTAAGAAAATCAGATTTATTGACCTGAGCTAGCTATCCCTACACTAAATTTTATATAAGCTTTAAACAGTCATTTAGACAGGGGTAAGTATGGTACAGCTTTATCTCAGACAGCTGATTTTGATCAAGCAAACATCACAATAATTAATTGAGGGAATATGAAGTTTACAGTGCGTTGAAGAAAACTATTCTGTTCACAGAAGGGTTATGGGCTTCACAGTGACGTGAAACACTGCTTCTGTAGTACAGGCAGAATCATCTTCAGGATTAACACATTTGCATAAAACGTACAATGATTATAGAAAGAGAAAATAAAATAGCAAAAAAGACAAAGAAGATTTTTGTTTGTCTGATTTGTGCCAGCACAAACAGCATGCTCCTTCTGGGATATGGACTCCCTTCCTTACTTGTTTTAGTTTGTCACAGTAAACTGACAGGGACATTGCTAGGCAGTATAAACTCTTCCTGACAGACTGTGATAGAATGCATGTCCCCATATGCCCTGCTCACAAAATTCAGGAAATTTCTTTAGGATATGGAGGATACATAGTCATAAGATCAGTTTTCTTCAGGTACTTTTTTGACTGCTCACCAACACTACAGATCTACCTGACAACGTTGATTAACATGTGACTACACAGCAGGAACTATGCTTTTTGTAATGCTCTGATTTTCAAGTCTTCTAAGACCAAACAGTCCAACATTTTTAACAGAATCAGTGTCATACTTTGCCTTACAGAGTAGCTGGTGCCATACCTTTGGATCTAGACCAAGTCCTGCTCGGGTCAGGATAATTGAAAGAGCAATATTCCTCAGTGCGGCAGACCAGCGCAGATTTATCTGGACAATGTCACTAACAAACGGGGTATTTCGGACGAGAAAACCAGCAAGAAGCATCCCTTAAATGAAAGCAAACAAACCACAGTCAAATGATATATTTGACTGCCGTAGAAGTTTATCTTGAATTTTAAAAACCTGACACAATAGGATGTATTTCTAAGAGACAACAAAACAATTCCTGCTCTGTTATCATTAGCCTTGTTTTAAAGATGGGAATGTGAGAAGATGTTTAAAGCAATGGAAGAGGTCTAGAACATACCAGGTCACCAATGAGCAAATCTGTGAGATGCTGAAACACAACTCAAACAAGAAATGACAGAATTCTACTTTGTTCACCAGCTGCAGGTCATGCTTACCATGAACAAAACCACCTCTGGACCTTTAAAGATATATTTTTTGTTAACTTTTTTTTTTTTTTTAATATGAAAAGAGGAGGGTAATCTAATATTAAGTATTCCTCTCATAAGTTGGAAATGGTTTTTAAAAAATCCTGTCAGAAATGCAGGTATCACACGAACCATAATGCTGAGGTCACTGGAACATCTAATCTAAATCATCTAGTCATGGTCTAATTTGGAGATCTTAAAATGCTCAGGCAATTCAACTTTTAAGCAAAGGAGAAAGCAGGGGAAATAACAGGAACTTGCACCTATCCTCTATTTGAGCTAATTGCAAGATCCAACCTTTTGCAAATATTAACAAAGCAGATTAATCAGGGATTTCTTCAAAGCTATCAGAACTAGAGATACAGAAAAGTACGGACATGGTAACTATAGTTCTGTAAAGACTCGTTGTAGGTCCCCACGATTCAAAGATACATTTTTTTGTGGTATAATTTCATATTAACCATGTTAATAAACCAGAAACCAAAAAAGATGAAAAGTAAACACTGTGCTCAGGTTGGGCACAGCTTGGTGTGTTTGCCTGTAAGCCTTGGCTGCAGAGCTGGTTCATCCTGTAACACACTGCTCTGCCCACCCCTTCCCGGAAAAAAAACAATTAAAAAAAGAAGAAAAAAAGTGGCATAATTAGTCTGCAGTCCCTTGTGACATTCATGTTAATGATCATGTGGCTCTTTGCACTTTTGTGTGTGTGTGAGACGTTCATTGACTGGATCTACCCCGATCTAGAAGATTGCTCATCAGAGAAAAAATACACCACCTTAAAAGATACCCTCATCATTCTGCTCCATGTTGCAGAACCTCCAAAGTATATCTAAAATATAACATGTGACCATTTCTGTAGCCACATCCTTCCCCCTTACTCACATAGAGGCTCACTATAAGGTGCACAGAGCTGAATGAGCCACAGTGCACCTAGCAGAAATGAATTAAAGAGTTCCTACACAAGAGTACGAGACTTACACTCTTAGTGTAAAGATTAGTCAAAGACACAGCGTATTTCTTCTTCTGTCTCTAGGTTGCTCAGTTTTCCTCAAAGACCACGGATCTGAACAATTAACTCAAACCTAAGCAACTCACCACACATACACCATCATGCTTAAGTTTCACTCAGGCAAGCAGCTTCACGCGCAACTCAATTTTTAGATACGGATTAAATTGAAGAAAGCAGAACCCAAATGGTCAGATTTTGGAATTGGTGATCCTTGACGTCCCTTCCAACTCAAGCCATTCTATGATTCTATACGACTCTGATTTTTTTTTAAGGTGTTTACTTATTAAGGGCCCTGCTTTTGTAAAGCCTGTGTTACTGTGGGCAGCCATGCTATATGCAAAACTTCCCTCCCTCTTGTTTGAATCTGTTCTCACCTGTGGAACACAGCAGTACATGAATACACACACTGCCCAAACAGTGCTGCAAACAAAGCCATCCAGCCCTTCTCCTGTCAGAGGGCCCACTGTGAAAGACTGCAGTAACAGTTAATAATAATAATAGCAAGTCATTTATCACTTCAAGGCACTACAGGAGGCATTTGCAGCCTGCTCTGCCTTGAAGTTTTCTTTGTATCAACAGTTCGACTCATGTATAGGCTCAGCATAACAAAGGGACCACCTTTTTCAGCTACTTTGGCATCAAAGTAGTTCATAATATCATACTAATGATAGCCAAAAAGAACTAAGGGGAGGAAGAGCCTTAGGAACATATAGGTAGTTTCACCTGAGCTAGCCTGGGGGAGTTTTCTAACTTCTCCACAAGGACCATGAACAAGTCACATGAAAAAGTGGCAAATTTGGGCATTATAAATTTGCACATTCCTAATCCAACCATGCCCAATCTGCAGGTGTCCCCCGACTGTTAAAACACCACAACCACACAGGAAGAAAAGAAGGAAGGGCATCTTACCCAGAAGAGCAGGGAGGGGTGGCAGTGTTCCTATTTTAATGAGTCCAAAAATTTTACCTCCAATGACAGCAAAAAAATAAAGACACAAAATTCCAAACAGGTTTCCACCTGGGAGACATTCGGGCCCAGTGATGGACCAAACCACAGCCCAAACCAAGACCACAGCGGCAACTGGAACAGGACAAGAAATATTAATATCTAATCATTTCCAACAAATAGAGAACCAATTTCAATATTAGGTCACATTTCTTTTTCCGCTAAGGTACCATTAAATCGCAGAAATGAAAGTTCTGTACCTTAAAAATCAGTTTAATCGTAACACTGTTTAATATTTGACACTCCTTAAGCCTATTTCTGATTTCATAGACGCTGAGACACTTTAGAAAATAGTAACAGGAAAGTCATTAGGGACCAAGAAAGACTGAGTAAACCAAAGGCCACTGTGGAAAGCATTTAACAGGTCCCAGACTTTTAGCAAAGATTTTCACGAGCACTCATCTTGCATTTGTGCTATCTTCCTTCAGCTAAGTAAAAACTGCAGCAGGAACCTGCTGTGCCTGATACGTCTTTGAGCTAATGACTGCAGTTCTGTTTTCATTAACATCTCATTTTTTGGCTAGATATTTTTGTGCATCCCTGGGAGACAAAAATCTGGAGGTCATGTCTCTGAGCAGCCTAAGGTAGTATAAATTAACACAGAAAACAAAGAGGGAAAGCTCCTGAAAAGTATTACAAAAATATCTGAAAATATTATAAAATATGTGAAAATAGTATACTCTTTCCAGTTTCCCAAATCTGTTCCTACACTAACACAACAAGAACAGAAATGAATAGACATAAAGGCAGAAGAGCAAAGCAGAAGAAAAAACTTGCTGAATAAATTGCCCTTCTTGTAATCACATGAAAATAGAAATAGAATATAGAATGATTTTCTATATCTTTAGCTACAAACTGTTAGTTTTCCAAACATAATGTCTAAGAATCACAAGCAAGAGAGAATAAAGTCTGTGGAAGCAAAGCCACAAAAAATATCTTATGTTTGGAAAAGCCTGAAATAGCTGGTTAGCTGGGCATTCTGTTCTGGGAGCTTAGAGTGCAGGGCAAATCTTAAATAGAATGAGTCAATTTGCCTTGGAGTTATGAATCTTGGCTTTGCAAGCCTAGGATAATAAGTACAGAAGAAAGTATTACTGCAAAGTCTCATTTTTGGTGCCCTTAATTCAATGGAAAGCCATCTAGTTTGTGGAAAATGCACTCTATAACTGTCTCAGTATATTCACACCAAAACTATGAGAATTAGGAAGCCTTCCTTCTACTCAGTTTAACTAAACATTTTGCATTGTCTTTTTCTTACTTACCATTTGTTACTATTCGAGACAGTAAACCCTGAGGAGGACAAGCAAATATTTGCCTCCATGTTCCTGCAGGTGCTGAAGACCCTGATATTGGTTCTGGAGGCTGCTGAGCTGAGTGATTCAATAGAGCAGTTTCTTCTGTTTGTACATTCCCATCAGCACCTTTGGCATCTACTGTTGACCCCTCCTAAATGAAAACAATGAAATTATCTCAGAAGAGGCTCAGTATGTATTTGCAGTGACATACAACATACCTGCAATCGGTCGCAATGCGCTGGATGCATCCTGTCTACTGATGGACAACATTAACTAAACAACTGCTGACTACAAGAAAGATTAGAGCTTTGTATTGGATTTGGTATTTTCCACTATGAGTCTGTTTTCATATGGCAGAAAGTTGTGCCTATGAAAGACTGCAGGTCATTCATTTATTTACTGCTTTTAAATCCATTTCTGTGAAATCTCCTGTGCCTATGTGCAGAGCACTTGTTCAGCAACAACAGCAGGGTATTTGATGAAAAAACATCATTAATGAACTGTGCTCAGTTCGTCTTGTGTGTGAGCCACACATTCATCAACATTTTTCACAGTTTGATACGTTTCTGCTTCTGCAGTGGATTCCACAATGAAGGAACACTCAGCATCATCCAAGCGAGGCACTATCTTTAATATAACTTGTAATTAACTTCTACTACAAAGCCTTGAACCAAAACAATCAAACCCACTTGTGATTATACAAAAATGAAAGAAACAGTGCAGATGGCAGTGCAAACATTACTCACACGATCCATAGTAGCAAGGCTCAAGCTGGTAAGTCGAGGTAGAAAAGAAGAAATGTTACTCTGGCAGATTCTTCCTTGAATAATGGTTTCTTGAGGCACAGAGTTTTTTAAAGCTGCTCTTTTATATTGATTCATCTACATATCCGAATTCATAACCAATATCCTTTTTGACCATTTTTGGATATGCATCTCCCTTTATTTAAGGGTCCTTATTTTTAAGAAATTAATCATCTTTCTTCCTCTAAAATTATTCATCTTTGTGCCAGCCCATTGTCATAGCATGGACATGGAACTCTCGCCCATGCTGCGGTTTGGCCTTCATCCAGTAGCAGTTCCACATTTCCCATTATTTTTCTATCTTTTATATATATATATATATATATATATGTATATATATATATATATCCCTTACTCATAGTCACAGTTGGAACATCAAATCTTGTGAGCTTTCAAGCACGGAATTACTTGGTTTCCTATCCTGTGATCACCAGCTTCCCATATATATATGGATACACCACAAAGTACTTGTCTTGTGTCAGTATCATGCACTTATCTAACTTAACACAGTTTCAAAACAGAATGTTTGTTATGACAAATTCTCACAGAGGAAATTTCTCTCCACATTCTGTTCAGCATTTTGATGGATTCAGCAAGGAAAGAGAAAGATTCTTCTAAATAAAGCTGCAATTTGAAATGCTAATTAATTACCTCACTTTTCTCATGCATGGGAATCATGCCATTTCTCTCACATACTGATGGTTCAGAATCTTCATTCACCGTATCTTCCTTCACCATTGCGGCAAAGCTAATGAATGCAATAGAGGTAGAAAACTTAGAGAAACAGGTAACAGCATTTTCCAGAGGCAACGCTTTCCTGTAATATTATTATTAATATTAATGTGAAAAAGCCCTCAAAGCCCTGTTTGGAATTTAACATCCTTTGCATGCCTGCATATGCTATATATAAGACAAAATACAGAAGCTAATAAAAAAATAGTATTGTTTGCAAAGTCAAGCACTAAAAAAAATTAAGTTTTAGAATCACTGTGTTTTGCGCAAACACATTATGCACTCTGTGAGAGTATGGCTGTAATATACATCTATACATTTATGTCTTCTGTAAGAACCAGAGAAAAATCACTTACTGCCAATACCTCTTGCCAGGACCACAAGCTCTGAAAGTGTCACAAAACGTGTGCACGTGGTAAGGCAAGTGACCATTTCATGTAGATAGTAAGCGTAGTTTCTACAGCATAACCACAAGGGACACTTTCCTCCCAGCTAAAAATCTGATCAGATCCTGCTTGATTTTTAGTGAAATTTTCAAGGAGATGGTTCTGTTAGGCATCACCATTCAAATACACTGATTGAGTATCTCAGAAACAGAAAATGTTTGCTTGACTAGAGATCTAAGATACACCCAACTTATTCTTGGGCAAGACTAAGAAAAAACAGCTCTTTGTTATTGCTCATAAGCCACAGAGATCATTCTTAAGAGTGGAAAATTCTCGAGTTGAATGCAGATAATCATCGTTGTATTTGCTCTAACTAGTCAATTTCTGCTGATACGTCAATGTACTAAATGTTTTGTGTACATGTGTGTGAAAATTTACTACAATTCCACAAGTCTGTGTCAATAAGAGTTACACTCACAAGACTTGGTCGCATTATTTGTCACAGTAACTCCACACCAGTGGTAACAGTACTTTTCTTGAAGTCCATTTCTCAGGCCCCATAAGCCACTCGAGTTGGGCCAAAACATTTGAGCCAAAAAATTCCCTCCTTGCTGAATTGCTGGAAGCAAGTCAGAGACCTGATTCTCACCATTATCAAGCCTTCAGTTCATAATATCTTTGAGATCTGCAAAAGATTGATGCCTTGAACAAAGGCAGGAGCTGTTTTAACACTTGGTTAATTTTGTTTGAGCTGTTCTGGTATGAAACTGGCTTGGCACAGCTAAGACATATAGAAAGAATACAGAAAGACAGTATCAATGCGTTCTAGTGTAAAGGCTTTGTTATCTCTCCACATGGCACCTGTACGTCACTCTAATTTTGAAAGATGTGCGTGTGCTGGATGGGTAAGGGATAATATAGATTGTTGTCATACATGTTTGCATGGGAGATGATCCTAGTTCTCAGGGTCAGACACCTGTAGACGTGAAATACATTGATACGCACAAGGAAGAGGAGCCCACCTCCCAGCAACTTCAGGCACACACTGTTTACAGCAGAGTAAAGGAAAGAAAAGACTGCAAAAGGAAATCTGCTTAGCAGGGATTTTTCCAAGGTAGAAATCAATGTCTCAGACAGCGTAAGCCTGCCTTTGTTTGTTGCGCGACAGACCTTCAGCCTCGGTTTTTGTTTTATAAATTTCCTCCGGACAGATTTCTTTGCAAATAAAATCAGATGGACTGAAGAAAGGTGGAACAGAATTCATACTCCATTGTTAAGGCCCACACTGTGGAAACTGGAAACCAGCCAGCAACTTGCTTATTTCACTACAGCCCTCTGAAATATACCTCCCTTGGTACGAAAGAAGAAAAGCTTTTTTATTACAGCTGTTGTTAGACCTTCTTATTTTATTTGTTTTGAATAGGAAGGAATTCAAAAGAGAGGGAAAGCGAAGCTCCAAAGATGACTGATGGGCAGCATGTGCTTGCCGATATTTTTAGCTCTATTGCCCTGGTGACCGTCAGCGCTATTCTGTGCATGCACACGAAGCGCCGCAGGCTCTGCCAAGAGCCACTAACGGCCAGCATTAAAGCAAAGCGTCAGCCCCAACCCCCCGTCACCCAGAAGGCGTAAGCGCACCCTGATGCAACGTCCTTCCCCGCCTCCCCAGCCCGCTTCCTCCCTGCGCGGCTCCCACCTCTCCTCCTGCGGCCTGAGCTTACCTGTGGAGCGGCGGGAATCAGAGCGATCCCACGTTCTCCAACACGCCGAGATGGCGATGCGCTCGACCACGCCCGGCAGCAGGAGCAGCCCGCTGCCAGCTCTGGCTCCTCCTCCTCCCCTAGCTAGTGCAGCACGATGCCTCCGCTATCCACAGTTGCACCAGGCAGGCTGCAAAATCGTCCCGCTGCAGGCAGGAGGGACCCGAAAGGCTTGCCGGGGGCCGTCTTCTCCTCTCGTGCCGCGCGCGCCAGGCGGCAGCTTTGTTTGAGCCGCGGAGCAGCCCCGAGCCCGCAGAGCCCGCAGCGCGGGAGAACAAGGGGAGGAATTGCATGGGGGAGGGCAAGAGAATCAAAGCGTTTGCACGTCCGTGGTGCTACCGTGAAAACATTTGTTTCGTAAAGATGCATCAAATAAATCCGTCTCATCTGTGGGTGCACCTGGGGAAAGAGAGAGCCCTTCTTCCTTCCTGTCGCTGAGTCACGCACTCGCACCGGGCTCTGTGAAAGCGGCTTCGATTGCAGCGTGTTGCTACTCTACTCCCAGCAACGTTATGTAGAACTGGGCTGACAACGAATCTGGTTTCAGGGTTTTCTTTTGACCAGATCAAATCTTCCAAGACTCCAAGTGAGGGATTTAAACACCCACCTTTCCCGAAGAGAAAATGACCCAAAATTTGGAGTCATGACCCTCCTTATCACGTGCATGGAGTAGCAGGAAAGAAACAAGATTTCCCACAACAACTCAGGGAACACAGGAATATTAGAAAGGATTATCTTTTAATAATGCCAGTAAGCCCGCTTGAAAACACTCGATGTGTAGAGGCACATTTCAGACTTTTGGCTGTTAACACAACCCTGCAACACACACACACCGTTAAGGAGGCAAGAGACAGCAATCGCTGTTGGTGTGGTTATTGCTGTTTTTGTTTTTGACAACCAGCTTCACTGAAAAATGCCTGTATCTGTGCTTTCAGTGCAATGTAGAAAGTTGGTGCCATCTCCTTCTGTTGCAGGAGTGTTTTGTCTAAACAATATTTGAGTAGTGCCAGCGTATTACATTCACCAATGAGCTTAGAAATATTACCTGTTAAAGTTCTTTATGCAATAAGTAATTTATAATGATGAATTTGAGAGAATTTTCATTTTCAAAATAGCACAAACTTCCTGCATTGCTACAAGTGTGGAGATGCCCTTCCCAAGGTAAGCCCTTTATACCATCTACAGAAGGAGGACTTTGGCCTTCACCTTAACCTCTGCAAACACCGAAACAGAATCCTGTTGGCCTCAACTTTCAACATTTGACTTTACATCAGTGAGTAGTGGTGGAGCCATTTTGGATAACTTAGGATTTTTGTTCCAACTTCATCCTGCTTGGCTGCTGAGGTCACCTGAATGAAATGCCAGAGAGCGTAACTCAAAATCCCACAGACAAACTACACAGGATTGGAACATTCCCACTACAATTAAAGGTAAGAGCTAAAGTCCATAACCAGTCTGAGGAAGCAGGCTCCACAATACTTCTCATTTTAAATCTGTAAGCAAACACACAAATTGTACAAACTGACTGACTGTACAAAGGCTGATTTGAACCAGGTATGTTCTTTATCTTTGAAATAAAATAATTTCTATTAATGCCTTACCAAACACTGAAGAACTCCAGTCATTTAAAAACGTGTCACTGTTACGAAAACGAGTACATGTTTTTCCCACTTTTTAACGACCAATAATACTCAGTAGCATTTATCTCTTAATTCTTCCCCTATATATGTATGAGTTTCATACATATTTTTAATAGATATGAAAAAAAGAAATGGCATATAGCTTCATTCACAAACAAAAAGCCATATTTATAGGAATTCAGTCTATGTCATTCATGTCAATTTTAACTGTTAGTGTAACAGATAGTTCTGGAATTCACATTATTCATTGCCTTAGGTCTTTGGGTCATGCTTCTTCTCAGTATGATTCTTTACCATGACAGTTTCCGATTCATAAATCAAAGCTCCATTGTGCTACTATGATAAAAATATCAATACAAACTCTTGTAGATACAATCATTTTGAGAGAAGTTTAGTTTTAATTTTTAGCAAGAACTATGTTTCTGTCTGAGAGTCAAGCAATGGAATATCTAAGCACAAAACCTAATCTGTAGAATTGATAATATTTGTCCTGTATTCGTACATTCACTAGTAAATCCTTCTGGGAGAGGAACATATTTGCTCTATCTAGAGTGGTAAAAATCTCTCTCCTTTTGCTTTATACCAGAAGTAAAATACATTCTGGAAAATTCACATGTGTATCTAAGAACACTGCTTACACATATACGTCTATCAGAGTGATATTCTTGAATAGTGTTCTGCACATGAAAAACAGAAGAAAAAGATATTTTCAAAACCATTTTAAGAGTGAATATGCCACTAATGAAATAGTTTGGGCCTCAGTTTTTCTCAGACTTCTTTGGTACTAGTAAAAGTATTAATTTTGAAACTGACTGCAAAACTACATGATTCTGTAAGGCTTACAGCATGTGGAGAGCATAGTCTTAATTCTTTACAGAGAGAGTGGTGAGGTGCTGGAACAAGCTGCCCAGAGAGGCTGTGGATGCCCCATCCCTGGAGGTGTTCAAGGCCAGGTTGGATGGGGCCCTGGACAGCCTGGTCTAGCATTAACTGGGGAGGTTGGTGGCCCTGCATGTGGCAGGGGGTTGGAGATTCATGATTGAGGTTCCTTCCTATCCTGGCCATTCTGTGATTCTGTGAACAGCCATTATAACAATTTATCTTCTATCATCTCTGCTTCACAAAGACAATGTCTATAATCTTCATATGCCTAAACAAAAAACACTGTGGAACTACAAGGCAGCCAGTCCTACTGCTTCTAATGGTCATAGCTTTTTGGGCTATGACTTCCTTTTGTTCAAAATTCCAACAGTCTAACTTGTCCAGTGTATGGGAAAATGGATATGGTAGTTGCAGAAAACAGCTGTGCATGTACACTGACTCCTTACTGTAGGTGCAGGAATTTCTTCTGCCCATGCACTGTATATCCAGTGTCTCTGACAGTCTTGCACCTTCTACTCTGGATGTTAGTCTCAAGTCAGATTCTTTTCAACAGTCCAACACAAACTATTTTTCTATAGTCATTACTGTATTCAGAAACCATTCTGCTAATGATAGAAGTGAGCAGAAACAAGTCTGCAAAGCAGGATAGATTTTCAGGTATAATTTGCAAGATCTAGTGTGCTCTCTAAAAGTAGATGTCTGTCATGAGTAACAAAATCATTTCATATGCCACTTCTGCTTTCTTCTGTTGTTTAAAATAAATATTAAACTTGATAATTTTTTGGCTGCTTTAAAAGTAGTCTGTTTTCTCTGGATAATTTCTTAATGCTGCTAAGAATTGTGAATGTTTAAATTCTAAATATTTTCTAGGCTGAGAATAATGATGGCATTAATTTCTTTCATTTAGATTTGCTAAAAACAAGACTGAGACGTAGAATGAGACCACATAACCATAAAAATGCACCAAATTTGTTCTAGAATACATCCCATAAATGATTTAAAACTTTGAAAACTCTTAACTGAGAAACATGATCCTCACTTTTTGCCTTTCATTGTATGGATTTCCATCTGCAGGTAGAGTTGATCACAGGCTCCATCCTCCATCAATGACAACTTCATTGCCGGTCATGTAGGCAGACTGAAATTACATAAAATATAGTATTTTTTTAAATGCTATATTTTTCCACAAGTAAATGCTTTTTTAAAAAAATAAATATTAAAAATATACACTTTTTCATACTTCTTTTTTTTTTTTTAATAAGCTTAGAAACAGAAGCCTTTTGGCTAACTCAAGGGAGTGCAGCAGAAGCACTATTAAAGGCAGTAAGACTAAAATACATCCTAAATGTGCAAATTCACATAAAATAGCCTTCACAGATTCCGCCTGCAGGAATAATGTTTTACACTATGATGTCATTAGCTCCATATTTCATATTTCAGCTGAGTAAAATATGACTTAGGTCAACCAGTAAGGGGACCTAAATGAAAATTTAAATGACTTAGAATAACAAGGGGAAGAACTGAGCTAGAGACATCCTTTGCTGTATCCCATTCTGAAGCATATTGCAGAACTGGAATTCTGTTTACAGAAGATTACAGAAAACCATGTGACCAGACTGGAAAATTAGTAGCTTTACAGAAACACTGTTTGAGAACACTAGAAAGAAGATGAAAAGATTACGATAGGTGGAAACATCAAGACTGAGTTAATTGCATTAAATTATTCTGCTGTGCCCAGCAGGATTGCTGGGCAAGTTCATTGGAACCTAGTTCAGTATTAGATCCATTGTGAATGTATAACATCTGAAATAAGCTTAATACGTGTTCATTAGTGTTAATGGTATTTGCAGTGAACATTTAGAGTTTGGTCTATGAAAACCTCAGTTGTTCTATTGTTTTCCTTAAGCCAAAATGGTAGGCTTAAACATAGCATTAGACCTCTTAGATCAGGTCTCTCTCTCATGGGTCTACACAAGTATTTTCTCTTGCTTACTGCAAGCAGGTAATGACAGTACTAATTCTACTTCCTTAGGAAAATATCTAACTGCAGAGCAAACAAAACTTGCAAGAGCAGACAAGCCCATTTCTCCTATGATTCAGAATGATCTGGAGTCAGTCAGCTTTCTCAAATTACATGGAAAAAAACCTGACTATGGCACCAAGTATGTAATGCCTTAATCACTGTCAACATTCAGAGTAATTTTTGTATCAGTTTTATTCAGTAAAGTTTTACTCAGTGAAGGTTTGGGGGTTGTTGTTTTGTTTGGGAGGTAATAATCAAGCTCATAACAGATACAAGCCCTCCTGGAACAAATTCTTTTTACTGAGAAGAAGCAAAATAAAATGGGATTGTGACAGGAAGTGTTACTGTTCCAATACTTACTTCCTCAGAAGCCAAGTACACAAAGAGATGGGCCACTTCTTCAGCAGTAGCCATCCTGCCAATCCTCTGTCTGGCTAGGAAATCTTTCAGTGCCTAGATATATAAAAGCATTCGGTATGTTGAAAACATAAAATAGTTATTTTAATCCAAGTAGCATGTGATGTGTACAAAGCAATACTGGAAGCAAGCCTTATGTTATAATTTTTAGCTTACTGGGTAGAGAGTGTGTGCTAGAAGAAGTTATAACGGTCACTGTTGTACAGATTTCATGGACCTGAACTTCTGGTTGCAGAATAAAGCCACTGAAGCCCTTTCTCTTTGGTGGATGATATTCCCAGACCCTTCAAATGAGTCCTCCCAGTCATTGAGTTAGTACAATTAAAGATCCCAATTCATTTTTAAACACATAGGTCAGAATGCCCTCTCTATCATTGTTTTGTACTGGACTTTACTGCGCAACAGTGACCTTTCAAGCATTTTAAGCCTCCCATCCTCAGCAGAAATTCACCAAGCTTTCAAAGACAATGCCACTGTTATATTATCCTTGGTACTCTAAGATAGGAATTTTCTTAGTTTGAGAAGTGCTGCAGGTTTGTTTTAGTAATTGAAAAAAGGATAAACATTGGTGCATACACGAACAAACTAATGAATTGTTTGCTCATGATATAGGCTGGTCGTTTAGCAATAGAGATCAGTATATTTAAGGATTGATGCATTAATTTCATAAAAGAAATCAGTGAACACTAGTTCTGTAACTTCCCATTTCAACTTCACTTGGTGTGTGAACAGCCTTGTTTAAAAACTGTCTGGATGTGGTGCTGTGAAAGAAACTTTTTTGTTTGTTTGTTTGTTTTTCTAGGGACATGATTTAGCAATGGGTTGTTCGAGTTAGGGTAGGTATGGTTAGGGTGAGGGTGAACTTGATGATCTTTAAGGTCTTTTCCAACCCGAGCAATTCTATGATTCCCTCAATGGTCCTGCTTCATGAGAAGCCCTGGAGACAAAGTAGACCTGCTTCTATCTTCGCAGCCACCAGGTACAAGAATTTATTCCTCAGATTTCTCTCATACTGTTTTGGATTAAAGCACACTAACATGGAAAGTTGCTCACAAGAAATGGAAATTTGGCAAGTTGGGGAAATACTGCTGAGTTCAGCCAAAAGTCTCTGTGATGAAGCTGATGATGGAAAAATGGGGAGAAAGTAAGTGGTTGAAAACCACCAGAGGCTGCTACCATGCATGCTCAGAGGGACATTAGCATATATTAATGAATTCTTGAAAAAATGAATAGGTATGGAAATCTACTGTTTAGGTATGTCTTAACTGTTTGAACATAGAACTCTGAGAGTGCACTTGTTTTGTCAAGTTGTCTGGTACACATCGTGAGGAACAAAGGAATGCTGCTTTCTAACACCATATGAAAGTTCAAGAGTTTTCTTCCCTAATTTTGGATGACACTCACCTGATCTGGGTTAGGCTGGGCTTTGATTCTTTCCTGTAAAGATGGTGTGTCAACAGTTCCTAAGCAAAAATTGTCATTTCAAAATTAAAGCTCAACTTCATCAGCAATCATAACAAAAATGCAGTTAATGGGTTCCATCTGTATGTCATAATACTGAAGTGTAACATCATAACGGAATTCATGAAAAGACTGCAAAACTATCAGTACAGTCCACGAGCCTAAATTTCAATAGAAGATAAGACTTGAGAATTACATTCAGTACTTTTCAGATGTTTGAAAAATAGCTAGCCTGTTACGTAGGCACCCCCTGCTTCTACCTTGAGAAATATAGGTTTAACAATAAAAATACTGGGCTTCAAAATACTGTCATCTGTACATAACGAGCATGTGCTGGTTTAGCAAGTTAAGATTTTTAATTATAAAGTAACAAGTTTTCTATTTTGAGAGTCAGAAATGTTTCAAATACATCCTTTTTTCCCCCGTTAGTTTCTTGTAACAATAGTTGCTGCTTACAAAGCTATTTTTTGTTAATAATGTCAAATTATATTAGGCTGTATGCCTTTTATCATCCACTTGTATTAACAATGTACTGTACCAATACTTACCAGGACATACACAGTTGCATCTGATCCCTTGTTCAATGAAATCAGCAGCCACAGACTTTGTTAGACCAATAACTGCTGCCTTGGAAGTACTGTATACACATCTGTTCACCACTCCTACAGAAGGTCAGTATGAAGGCAGCACAGAAGCAAAACAAAGTCAAAAAAGAACAGAGAGAAGTTTATTCAATATGCATCTGCTTCTGAACTGCAGTGTTTACTTTAGCTTGCCCTTGTGGAGAAGCTGTGCTAACTAGCATGCCAACTGCCAGAATTCTACTCAAGTACACACCAGAATAAAGCATAGGATTCTTCAATAACAGCAATCTGGGGAGTAGTCCAGAAAAAGTAACACTGCAAGCATACAAAGGATCATGAAGAGCAGAGTCTCCTCTTCTAGCCACCATTACTTTTCATTGGTAGTTATGATTGTATTGCTTATTGATTCATTGTTTCTCTGAGGAACATAAACAGTGAGAATCACTGAACAGAACTCTTTTCTCAGTTATTACATACTGATAAAAAAGATGCTACAAAACTTTCATAAAAGATTCAAAAGCTCATAGGCCATGATTTGACTGTTTCTGAAACTGCCCATGTGTTAATGTATATATATTTTTTTCTTCCTGCATTCCTCCTACATTTGCCAGCATCCTCTTAATTAAGAGCAGTGCAATATTTGTCATTCTTACAGTTTTCTCACCTGCCACTCCCTCAAATATTATTATGCAGCTTTTCAACTTTTTTTCTTAAGTTTTTATACACGTCACTGCAAATTATTATCACTGTTCTTAAGAAGACTGAAGACTTCATAGTACCATTGTGTCCTTGCAGTACCACTTCACTGCCCTCACTGTGAATAGAAAGTCAGATTTGCTCACTTCAGCTGCCTTAGGGAATACTACACACTAGGGGAAAAAAAACAAGCATTTATCGTAGATCATCAGAAAGCAAAAATCAAAGCAAACACCTAGGCAACCTGAATAGAAGCAACCTGCACTGAACAGAGATAACAAGCATCAGATCCAACACAGTATCAAACCTTCCTTTATCAGGAGGCCCTCTGTTGTTACAAACCTTTGTTTTGATCACAAAACTTCATCTACAACAAACAAACCAGTATAATCCACTTCCTTTTACTGTAATTAAGCTGTAATTAAGAGCAACCCATTTTGTGTGCTGACTGTGGAATTATTACTGTACATAATTTAACTAGAGCATGCTTCATCAGGAATACACACAAAAGATCAAAATCAAGGGCATTTGTTACATATATAAAAAAAGTTCTCTCTAGAACGGATATACAAATTTTTACAGAACACAGTGTCAATTCAACATGATGATTTAAGACTGATTTATGTAGGAATCACTGTAGAAAGCCTCTCACCTTTAATGCTGGATGCCACAGAAGACATATTTATAATATTTCCAGATTTCTGTTTAATCATCTGCAAAAGAACATTTACATCATTCAAACTGTTTTGTTATTTGCAGGCCTAGCAGAATAGCCAACAGCACCAACAGAATAGTCCTGTATACAATTGAAATGCAAGATGATGAGTCATAGGCATGAATATGTGCTCATTTCTTTTTAATTTGTTACCTGAAGTAATAAAACAGATTCTGAAACTATCACTGAGTACTCTTGCCCACCACTAGGATTTACCACCTAACTAATTGACAGGATTATTGAAGTGACACAACTGTAGCTTATCTTGTTCCAATTCACATCAGATAGAGTGGCTAAGGCTTAAAAAGAAAAAAAAAAACAAAAACTTTTGAAGTGTGCTTGTGTTATAACCTTTTCAGGCATCTCAAAACCTGAAGTGTCTAAAGCTATTATAAACAACCTTTAGAAATGAAGATTAACTAATAAAAGTAAGGACTGGAGCAACACTGGAGAAGAAAAAAATCAGGCATCCAGTAATGGTCACAGCTACCTCTTTTGGCCTCTGCATTTACAGAAAAAGTTGCACAGCTATATGCTTATCTCAAATTGCAGTCTGTGACAAGCAATAACTTAAAACAGTCATATCTGATTGCAATGCAGAGAGCAACAAAGCCTTACTTTAGGAAGGAATGTCTTGATCATTAGATACATGCTGCGAACATTGAGGTTCATAGTAAAGTTCCAGTCTTGTTCTTCACAATCCAGAATGGTCCCATGATGAACAAACCTGGAATAAGTACATGATTACTGTGCAAGGTTTACATTTCTATGGCTTTTTATGCAATTCTGCCATTACCACTTTGTAGTATCCTTCCAATCCTGAAAACGCAGGAACAAGAGCCCTTTGGAAGGAAGTAGCAGTGTTTTTCATCAGATGAGTATCAGGGACACAAAGCAGACCAATGAGCAACAAAACATTTGCTAATAAGGAAATTAAAACACAAATACATGTTTAAACAAAGTGTTGTAAATCCACTGATTTTGCTCATTGTTGCAGAAGGAAGGCTAAATCCAACAGTATAGGGAATCCACAGAGTAGAGAAAACAGAGTAGAGAGCCATAATATCTTGACCTGGGTAACATGGCCACAAAAAGTTAGCACAAAAAGTTCAGTTTTGATGAAAATATATATATTTAAGATATAAAATGCATTACAACAACAACAACAACAAAATGGATTTAGGTAAAAGAAAGCTCTGGAGGATAGGAAAAGCTGAAAAAAGAAGTAGTATGAAATAGAAGATGGTTACCCTGCAATATTACAGAGGACATCTATCCTTTCAATTTCCTCTGCCAGCTCTTCTATCTCTTGCTTTTTGGTGACATCCAGAACCCGTATTTGAATGCCTAGAAAAACATGGTTTTAGTTTAACTGGTTTTGGCTAAGAATTCGTACTTTATTTTTCTCAAGTGCTGAGGACATTGCACCTCCCACTCAAATCAGTAGCTTGCCAGGAACAGACGCCTCTCAGTGGTAAGACTTGGAGACTTACTGAAAGCTACACTTCACGTGTGCAATGCTTAAAACAGGAATGGACAGCAGAGCATGGTATTCAAGATTTCAGAAAGGAATTAAAAATACATTAACTGACTTAACAGCCATGTAGTATCACACAAACAAATAAGCTAATGTAATGTGCCATACAAATCACTTCCTCCTATAAATCTGAATTCCATTCCACCATATCCTCAAGCCAGGCAACTACAAAACTTGTATAATCCTAACAAGCTTTCATGCCCACTGTTATCAAATATTTATTACTTGGAACCAGTTACATGTCTCACAATCACATTACCCTCTGTATACATGTAGTTCAGAGTACTATGAAACAGATTAATATTATTTAATTAATGAGGAAAAATGATTTCATATAAATCATAAATAACTTTGGTGATGACACAGCTATCAAAATAGAAACAGAAAATCCAGCAGAAATCAGAATGAGTGTAAAAGGAGAAGTACTGCAGTACGCTGCAGTAGTAGGTACAGTTAGGCTCCCAGGACACTACTGGGTTGCAGCATGGCCTTGGCATACCCTGCATCTAGGACTAAGAGACATCTAGTGCAGAACACTCAAGCTCCAAAAGATTTTAAAAAACAACAACAAAAAAATCCACCACCCACAATTTATTCATGTGCAGGCAGCGGTGACCTCCAGTCTAATAGAAGTCTACAATTACCTATCGTGAGGATGTAAAGTGTAAAGTGGAAGCAGAGTTTTCAGAAGTCCACAGAAGGGTAAAAGGCAAAATAAAGAATTTGGAAAGTCTGACTGAATGCAAAGAGTGGTGGGGAGTTTATTTTTTGTGCTTCTTATGGACTACTAGTATAAAAGCATGAGGTCAGTCATGCTGGAACAGAGGCCTACAGAGGTTGTGAAATTTCCACCTGAGTTGTCCTGAGTAACCTGCCCCAATCAGACTTGCTTTGTATAAGAAACAGGTCTTAGCAACCTCTGGGGGGCTCATCCAGCTTACATCTGTGTCTTTTGAAGCAAACTGACAAGTCCATGAACATGCTTGACTTGCTTTGGTTAAATGATACAGACACTTCTGAAGAGATTTGTGTATGATGATGTAATTAGTAAGACTACAGGCTAGTGATTAACATGAGCAGTAGAATTACCTCTTCTGGATATGATTCAAAGACCACAATGTGCCAAACCTTGAAGAAAGAGTTTAACTAATCACAAGTCAAAGGGATGGAAATGGCTGCAAATGGCTGGAAAAATTGCTTTTTTTTTTCCTTCTGAGTACTAGCACAGGGAAAGCAAAACGCACTTCAAATTGTAACACTTTCCTAAGCATGCTCAGAACAAACTGGTGAAGTCCCAAATTTCTTGAATTACAGCAAGACTGCTTGCAGTGAACTCCAGTCAGAGAAGGCTAACATTCGCATTAAAAGCTGCACCAGATAAGTGTTTTTGTTTATTTTTGCTGTCACACTGTAATAGGAATTCATGAAGTTGACACCCAGTGATCACTGTCCTCCATCACCTTAAGTTAAAAGCACCTTTGGTTGTGAAATACAATTTTCTTGCTTTTTTTCTTTCAAGAAAGAATAACTTTTTAATAGTGTCCCACATTCGTACATCTCTTGTAATTAAAAATCATAGCTACTGAAAAATCTTTTCCTTAAAGCAGGTGTTTGTGATATGAGCTGGAAAGCAACTTTTGAGCCTGAGCATTTGTACAAATTAAATAAGCTCACTGATTGTTGTAATTAGTTTCCAAAGATATGCCAATTCCTATTAGACAGTTATCTTCTAAATGCTTTCCTTGCTGAGTATGGACCAGGGAAATGCAAGGCACGAAATCTATTTGTATAGCTGGAGATTAGTTCCCATAATCAGGGAAAAGCATTCTGCGTTTTTCACGATAGTTTCAACAGTTACTCCAGTAATCTTAAAAATAAATGAACAAATAGAAGTAACAAAGCATTCTGGAAGGAGGAAATCAGCTGCTTCTTTGACACAAGAAACACAATTATTCCACACTCCCAGAATATCAGTCTGAAACACTGATAATTGAAACATTTTATGTGTAATCTCTGCCATTTTACACCACAGACTAAAGTAATAACAATATCTAAATGATTACTTTCCATGTTTGCCACGCTTTTGTGGCCAGCCTACAACAACATTTACTATACTTGAACTAATGCCTACTGATTTACCTGGATACTTCTCCAGTTCTTGCAGCTTAGTCTTATTGATGTCTGTAGCAATGACTTTGGCTCCTTCTTTAGCAAAAGCCTGAAGAATACAATAAGAGATGTAGTTTGTTTTTAGATATCCCATATCTTACAAGAAAATCTGTTTTCTTGTTTGGTTTTGGTTTGAAATAAAAGTTGACTGAAGGCAGCTAATCTCCCCGTACTCATTCTAGGCAAGTGAGGAAGTTAATGGATATTGATTACTAAACATGCTGGGGACAACTGAAAAACTATGTTAGAGAGATTTATGTTCTTTTCTATGAAATAAGAAATCCATAAATAAAGCATGAAAGCAGTAACCAAACTAAGACAATGGGTATTATTATCGCCCTTAGTAACGACGTGCACAGTAGTGAGGACATTACAAACACTTTAGGCTAAAATTATGTCTGATTTCTTATATAGGTAAAGACAAATTAAGAGGAATGACATGGCATGAACTTCTTTAGGATCCTTCACATCCAAATCATTGGAACAGAGTAATACTCAAAAGAAACATGGCTTTAACCAGACATATTCCTTCATTTCCTGATGTTCCCCTCAAAAATCCATTTTGTCTGCATATAGAGCAGCCTCCATTCCATAGTCTCTGACACTAACCTCCAGTCTTCAAAATAAGCGTCTCAAACGCAATCTAAGAGGACAGCAGGATTAAATGTGCTAGCCCTCCGTGACTTGTAAGGTATTTGCAAAAGGAAATCACCAGTAAAGTGACCTTTAGACCAAGTGTTTTAGGGCAAGTAGTGAAAATGAACAGTTTCATGCATTCTTAACTGTGTGTGTGACAAACTAATCTTGCAAAATTCCTGCTTACAGGGCTTGTTGATTAAATTATGCAGGTACTGAGATAACCCCACTAGTTTCTGTCCACTGAGGAAGAAGGAAATAGCAGGGGCAGAACTTGTCAAAAGCAACAGTCAACAAGAAAGTAAAAAAAAAAAAAAAAAAAAAAAAAAAAAAAAATCAATAAATACTTTAAATTTTATTTTAACAATAATGAAGACGTTTAAAAGTGTTTCTCTCACTTTCAGAAATTTAAACAGCAGCAAGTGTATGTAATACAGTACATTGTCTCTGTTGTTCCCTGATTTTTTCAGTAAGTAGTTCTGGCTTCATCTATAGCTTATTAATTTAAGAACTTGTTTGGTGCAGGTGTTGTTGCACATGCTAGCATCAGACATCCAGCTTAGGTACAAGAGAACAAATTTTATCTAACTCACGATAGCAGTGGCTTTTCCAATCCCTTGTGCTGCAGCAGACAGAAGTATTACTTTCCCATCAAGCCGCCCCATGCTGCTGGCCTGCGCAAACAGAAAATATGAGTCTAATACAAAGTGAGTCAATATCACCCCCTGGGAATCAGGTGCAAATTCATTCCATAAACCAAAACACAATTCAGAGCATCTATACTATCAACTCACAAAGCACTCTTCTGGGCTGCTGAGTAAGCCAAGGTTCTGAGGGGGCACTGCCTCAGTCTTGCATTTATAAGGACCAAAATGCATTTGCGCTCAAAAGCCAAGCTCTATTTTTTATCAGACTCAAAATCTCATTTAAACAAGAAAAAAAAAAAAAGAATGATTAGACAGAAGTAAAATATCTTGTAATCTAGCATCTCCACTGTACACTGTATTCTTAGAATGCAGGTCTTTTCTATTTCTCTCAGACTACTACATTCAACTTCCTAGATGACAACACAATTTGCACAATACCCTCCAGGACTGTGAAATGCATTTTTTCCCATCACCTAAGACTGGCATTTGTCCACTTTGAATTTTCTTGAGGATCTCCCAACACAGAAGATTCTCAGCTCCACAGAGTAAGAGGATGAAGATAAATGAAAATCCCCCCTCACTTTTACCACATCATTTGACGTTAGAGAACTACTGAAGATGCTTGGGGCAAAAGGTGGGGAAGATTTTTTTTTTTGAGTGCTGGATGACACAAATAACCTTCCAGGAGATTTCAGCTTACTCAAGCTGTGGAAACCAAAAGGCAAAGTGCAGTTTTTTCTCTGCCTAAGTAGACGCTTTCGAAGGAGTTATTATGTTTGAAGAAATATAGTATATAATGATGAAAACAAACAAGCAACTGAGCTTCTCTATGTAGCTATGAGTGTAGGAATGTGTCCCTAAACCCTTAAGTTTTTTAAATATAAGCATGAATCCAAATGCTGAATACTTCATTTGAGTTGCATACAAACACCATTATTTCCCCTACATTAGCAGCCAATAATACCACCTGGAGACAGTCAAATTCACTCTGTGATTTGTTAGTTCAGTTTAGGTTTTTACATCTGATTACTCGTTCAATTTTGACTTGAAATCTTTCTTTCCCAGAAGCTTTGCTCCCCTCCACCCCTTTTTTGAAGCAAAACTAGTATATTTCTCCAAAGGTTACTGATTTAACATGGAACAATGGACTTCTTTCTAAACAACTTGACTAAAAAGTTATTTCTGCTGTAATACAAAAGCATTATCTCATTTGACTTAAAGTCAGCCTGACATACAGACATTTTTTCAACCTAATTTTAGGGTTTTGCTGATAAAAGAACAACTGACACAAACGTAAAGAAAAAAGCAAACAAAAACAAAATGACAAACCACCAAAATAGTCCACAATGTAAGCAATAAGAACATGCATTTTTTTTAACTAGAAAAAATTTTAAAAAATTGCATCTTTTTTTTCTAATTTGTGAAAGGCACAACACCTTGAAGATAATTTTTTAGGTGAATAAAATCATGCATCTTAGGATGCCTCTGACGTATGCTATATCACTACATGAGATTGTGCCTGTGTTAGCAAAATTTTTTTCATTGTAACATGTGAAGATTACAATGTTAAACACAGTAAAATGAGACCAACATATACAACTAGGTAGCACTACCTCTGCAATGTACTGCACTTATAGCAAAAGTCCCAAGTTTGCTCAAAGCACTCAGTCAAGGCTGTGTAAACTCATTCTTTGCTGTTACACGCATTTTCAATATATAAAAAAAAAAAACCACCAGCTGAAGTACTTCCTCAAATCACCCTACCATTTTAGATGTAAAATGCTTTATAAACACATTTTTGATCTGACAATGAGTTTTGGTGAACATTTGACACACCAATTTCATGAAGCTTTTGAAACGAGGGAGATTAACAGCCACTCACCAAAAGATCTCAGCCAGCTGGGTACGTGTAATGACCTTTGTGAAAAAGGAAGTCTTATGACTTCCCTGCTGTGCCTGTTGGGAGTTGTAGTCTAACTGGGAAGTTTCTCTATGATAGTAATTTCCTGTTGAAACACAAAGATGCTGCCATCTAGTGAAACTCAAGACTTCAAGTATGATTTTCTTCTGCGCAGCGCAGGGACAAAGAAGGATCATAAACCTCAGCTATCCATTTTTTCCTAAAGAATGCAAGAGATCAACAGAATATTCACCAAAAAATAAGGCTTTGTAACTCATCTGCCTCAAAAAAAAAAAAAAAATTTTTTTAAAAGCATTTCTCTTCCTCTCCCACTTTTTTGTCTACTGAATTGAGACAGACCTGTGCAGTACATTTTTGTTTTTCAGCTCAAGCACAAGAGAAATCTCCAAATCTTTTATTATTCCAGAAAGCAATTAATACAGTATCTTAAAACTGTAAAAAGCAAACAAAAAACTCTAGAAAAACAAAAGAAAAAAACCAAAACAAAAAGCAGCACAAGACAGCAGTGCCAGATATGCCTTCCACCCTTCTGAAAAACAGTTGAATTTATTTTTTTACATGAAGTAGAAGAGGAAAAGAAAACTGTGATAAACACAGGAAATATTTTTTTAATAAATAATTTGAAATTGTAAAAAAGAAAATCCCGAAACCACGCCAAAACTGCTTGCATTTATCAAAGTTGGGGAAATAAGATACTCCTGCATATTCACGACTCTAGTAAGACACTGAATTTAGTAATTGTATTTCAAGACTGTTAGCTGAAAACACCCAGGTTCTAAAGCTTGCCATTATGCATTCCAAGTCAAAATTTTAGAAATTCAAATACTCAAAAAACTCAAATTTTGAGTGCCAAATCTCTCCCATATAGGAGGGAAAGGATCTATTCCAACACTTCCCGTCAAAGCAAAGAGTCAGCGTGGAAGAATTAAGCAAAACACTGGTGACACAGATTTGTGCATTAGTAATCTGCAGAAAGATACTGCAACAGGCAAGAAACATGATGATAGAAGTGCTCTGGTTATTAGAAAAAAGTGTCTTTAGACAGTGAATCAGCATCCCCAGATCATAGCATCATATCACTACAAAAGTGAAGTGTTTAGATACTTAAAATATTAAAAGTTTGTCAGAAGAAACCTTTTCATACAGAACATTAAAATAGGCTTCAAAATTCAGATGAGTAGGATAGTAAAACATAGTCCATGTTACGACCCCAATTGTCCAGTTTTATTTTCAACTCATAAGAGCAACAGGATAGTGTCAATCAGATCAACTGCTTACTGTTTGAAAAAGAAAATAATCCAGAACCCAATTTCAAGCAGGAAATAAAGTATATTCAAAGATGACAAGAAAAACAAGTTATTTTTGCACCATAGTTTACTGAACTGCAGAAATGTTTTCAAGAATTTAAGAGAAATCCTACAAAAAGAAAACGAACAAATTTAGTTGTAATATCCAAATAAAGAGGTTAAAGTTGCAGTGAAAAATGTAGTATTAAGAAAAAAAATATTAACTCGGTATAAAAACCATCTGTTGAGAAACAAAATGAACTAATGAGTAGATACAAAGCACCCAGAAGAGGACTGTTACAAAAATGCCAAAGAAGTTTAAGATCAAGAAGTTTCACAGTAGATCAGTTTGTGATCCATTCTTGTGTCCGTTTTTCTTCAGTACGTTAGCTTTACTTTCTTTGCTACACAAAACAAAAGCAACCAAAGGAGAACATCAGCAGGTTGCAGGTAACATGTCTACTTTCCCATTTTTGTTCTTGTTTTAAAGCTTTTCTACTTCTGGGAAGTAGTAGTTCCAACACAAGGGACTGGCACGCCATCAGGGTTCTTCTCACAATAGATGGCTTTAACCTGAAGCAACCATTTTCCATGTAGCTAGATTCTGATTGTAGCCACTGTAAAGGCAGCTAACAACAGAACACCTCTATTGGGTGTTACAATCAGAGACTTTATCTTTCTCTGAAGTTTCAAACCACTTCTTAAGATGGTCTTCTGTGGACTCCATTCCTGCAGGTTGTGTATCTGTACAGAAAATAAGAACATTTAAGTGACATTTTCCCAATTAGACAAGCAGTAGGAATATAGCAATTTATTCTCAACTAGTTTTAAACATCAGCTAGCAAAACTTGCCTCTGAGAAGCATAGTGCTGTGAAGGTGGCTATACTATTACCTAGTTGGACTTCAGAGAAAATGGCAGTGAGTCATTCTTGCTGCATGTCTGCCAGTCTAACTGTTGTTAAAAGTCTTCAGCATGCCTGCTGGAGCTTCATGAAAGCTTTTAGAAGCAGGTTGATGAGGGCAGTAGCACTAATATGCTAAAATCTCTAGACTTCCCAGAAATCACCAGTCCAGTAATAAGAAATATCAGAAAATATCAAAACAGCTATTACAGCAGCTAGAGACTGCCATGCTGGCAAATTCAAAATCCAAGATCAAAAAATCAATAATCTTGATAAGGAAATATTAGAAAGTAGGCAACCAGCAGTTAACTCTGAATAGATGATAGCACAGTCTGTGAAAATCAGTTTTGTCAGAAGTGTGTGCTTAACTGGTGTAAAAGTTAAAAAGCAAAAGATTCTAGAGCATCATTTGACACGATATTCTACCTCTTCACTTTATAAAGCAATTGGTCATCAGCACTTTCTGTGAAGCAAAAGAAATAATAAGTTTGCCTAATTCAGGAGGTATGTGTCCTAAGTATTATTCAAGTGATGTAGAGCACGGATAATCTTGGCACCAGCTGGGCAGCCCTTTAACAATCTGCTGAGTAGGCATTCAAAAAAGCTGCTTCTATACATTTCAGGTCTGACCAGGGAAAGTACAGGACATCTACTCTCAAAGACCACCCCTTATATTCTGTCTCTCCTAATAACTTTAATAAGACACCACCATGTTACATACCTATTAGTGTACTTAAGTTGGAATTATCAAAGAAGTTTGTGGGACATGTCAGTGGCAGAGGCTTTGATATGTACTGAGTCACAGTTTCCTGAGATACAGACTCCTTGGAGGGTGAAGCTGGCTCTCTAAGGGAACGTGAAACTGTCTTCTTTGGAGATCTTGGTACTGTCTCTTGAGTAGTCTCTCTTGAGAATCGTTCTCTCAATTTTAGTGCTCTTTCTTTCCATTTTCTAAGTTCCTCCTTCAGTTGAAGCTCATTACTGAGTAGGAAAAAAAATTCCAGCATTTCATTAATAAAAACCTTCAGTTCTCTGAAGTAAAAGGAGAAACAATCCTGACAAGACATATCCTACATCTTCAGATGACATATCACAGACAGGCAATAAAAGCCTCCTATGATAACCAAATGTATCAGTTCGAGAGGTACAAAGTTTCGTGGATTTTTTTTTCCCTTTTTAAGCTAAGATTCCTTTCAACAATTTTACCGTATACACTTTCAACTAAGTTCATCTCCCACTTACTGATAAACATTTAGAACAAATTCTTACAGAAGTAATTTAAAGCTCAAAAGCCATAAACAGGTACACACACACACAAATACATAACTAGCTTAATACAAGTTTAGACTTGCTACATTCTTTTGCATCTTAAGAGGAGCAGTTATTCAATTCTACAGGTTTCCTAGAAAGAAATGGTGATAATTACTTACTTGATGCTTACCATTTTTATGCTTACCTTAGTAGAATATCATTTTGTTTCTTCAGGTACAAGTTTTCTTTCTGCAGCTTAACTTGTTCAGATTTTAAAACAAGCATTTGTGTGCTCTGCACAATACCACTACCACCACCACAAGTAATGGGGATGGGCATTTGGGATTTCTGGGGAACTTCTTTTTCAGACATTACTAGAAAAAATTTCATACAAATACGTGTATTATTATTACAATACTTAAAAACCACATCAATATATATTTTAGATATGTCTACACAAGATTTCTTCCTGTAGTCTTATATGTAAAGCCTCACTAGGTTACAAGTGTCGTTACAACAGCTATTTTTAAAATCCACTGTATGGGAGCCGTTGAGTCATGGCCTGAACCACTGATTGATCACCTGAGGAAAGGACTGGGTCAGCCCAGTGGGAGCACAGGTAAAGGCAATTCAACTCCTTCGTGGAGTCCCTTCTGCAAACCTAGATCTTTGGATACAGATGAGCATTCTTTCCCTGTTTGTTTCTTTTCACCACAATAATCTATCTAGCTGTAACACCAACCTTAACACCCACCATCAGTAATCACATTGCCAGGGAGATATTAAGAAGCATAAGAGATGCTTCATTGGGCCATTTAGCTTTAATGTAGTTACATAGTTTGAGTTGTATCACTGTGTAGGGATCCTCAGTACAGGAGAGGCACAGATTAGCTGAAGTGCATCCAGAGTAAGGCCACAAAAAATGACTGAAGGGATGGGGAACCTGTCCCACAGAGACAGGCTGAGAGAGCTGGAGCTGTTCAGCCTAAAGAGAAGGATCTGAGGTGACCTGATAGTGAACTTTCTGTATGTAAACTGTGGCCACAAGAAAGAAGGTCTGTTGTGATAAGACAAGGGGAAATACCTTCAAACTAAAGGAAAGGAAATTTAGATTGAATATAAGGAAAAAGATTGTTTTTATAATAAAAGTAGTGAAATATTAGAACAGGTTGCACAGAGAGATATGGTAGATGCCCCATCCCTGGAGACATTCTGAAGATAAGGTTGTTCAGAGCCCTGTCCAGCCTGATCCAGTTATTGGTGTCCCTGTTCACTGCAGGGGAGTCATAGCAGCTGACCTCTAAAGGTCCATTCCAATTCATACAATTCTGTATTTCTAATTCTAATCACAGAATTAGAAACATAAGGCACTACAGCTGCAGCAGCTTATCATTATGATTGCTAGTATAACTGGAGAAATACACAAAAAACACCAAAACAATACAAGACCTGCTGTGATTCTAATACATTGCACATGCAGTTACTGTATTTTTACCTTCTATCTCTTCCAAAGCACCTAACCCTTTCTCATATCTTTTTGAAGTAAAAGGCCTGCATCCCAATCTGGAATTTAAACTACGTAAAATTAAAACTGAATGCTT